ATGGGAACATTAACTATATCTGGATAGCTGCCAAAAAGGCTACATCTAATTGTGGGATGTGCACCTTCACTGTGAGGAAACTGACTAATTATCCGATCTATTGAGTCTATGAAGAATGTGTTAAAAGACTCAGCTGCTGTATATATGTATATCACATCTTAATTCTGTGGGAGTAAACTTCTTTTTGGAAGCATGACCCACTTCGTTGTTAATAATTTTCCATGACACCTTGGATTTGTTAGTGGATTCGGTTAACAAATCATTATAATACATTTCTTTTGCTTTATAGATGACCTTTCTTAATATGGAACAATATCGAGTATAATACTCTTTTAATTTAGGACAACTAGTTACTCTACTCATCATGTAAAGATATTTTTTACGCCTACAGGACACTCTAATTCCATTAGTAATCCACTGATTATTATACACAGTATTTACCACAGATTGCATAGGAAAACATGATTCAAAATTAACTAAAAAGGTACTAAAAAATTTATTAAAACTAGCATTAACATCTGTGTTATCCAGGGTACCGTCCCATTCCTCATTGTGTAACATGTCAGTTACATGTCAGTCATGTTTAGACTCTAGACTTGGTTATTAGTCTTTTCCTAACAAGCCTATAGTTCTTTACTTGAGATTTAAAAACATTTATCATCAAGTATTGTTCATCATGGTCTGAGAGCCCATTCATTACCGAATATACTTGAACAGTGTTTAACCTATTATAATCCAAAAATATATTGTCTATAGCAGTGCTAGATTCTTTGGTTATCTTTGTAGGGAAGTCGACAACGGGACATAAATTATATGTATACAAACGTGAGATTATCTGGTGAACATTGTTTGAATTACTTAAAAAGTTTACATTAAAATCACCACACAATATAATTTCTAACTTAGGCTTATATAAAAATTTTAAAATTATTTTTAGTTGATTGACAACTTCTTGGATGTTACCACTAGGAGATTTATAAATATATAAAAGTATAAAAATATTGTTACCAATTTTCATCTGAATTGCACAAGCCTCTATGACCTTTTCAATACAATATTTGGAAATATCCACTACATTACAGCTCAGATCGGATTTACAGTAGATGCATGCTCCACCTCCAGTATTATATTGACGTGAAAAATTTGAGGCCAAATAATAATTTTCAGGTTTTATTGTTAATAATTTCTGCTCTACCAAATAATGTTCTGTGATACAAATAAATACTTAAGTCATGGCTATACAGCATACAAGTCAATTCAACAATTTTATGCTGGAGCCCTCTTATATTTTGATGAAATACATTTAATGTTTTAAGCTTAAGCTGAGATTTATTCAGTCCCCGGAAATTCTGATGGTATATCTTGAAAGAGTTAACTGCAGGAACATGTTGTACAGCCTCGCAACCTATCTGAGACTGAGTATTTATATATAGAGTGGCAGTGGATGAGTTGGGGGGAGTGATCTGAGGTATATCAGGTACCTTGTGAATATCATTTACCATAAAAAATCATTTTTCCTGGTCACTGGAACTTTCTTTTGCCTGTTTGATGTTCTGGGACAAGTTTCTACAGGATCTAAGGTGGCCAGTTGGTTAAATTCATTCTTGCTATTTATGAGGATTTTGTTTCTGTTTTCAGGTACTATGGTGGTATATCCCTTTATTTGATCATTTTTCCATCCTAAGCTAATTAAACCTTCTACTTTTCTCCATAAGATGGTGGAAATTTGAGCTACTATTTGAATGGCTATCTTTTCTTTCCCTTGCCCATTTAGATGCAGCCTATGTTTTGTAAAGAATTCTCTAGTGAGATCATTTTCTAGAACTGATGTATGTGTATTGGTTTTGACATATTTCTTTAACTTCCTATTGAATATTTTAATTTCATCATTAACGGAGGAGAAATCCATCAAATCATATCTGTGTGGTGCACTTAGTAGGATGATATTTGTGTTGCTATTAGCCTTTACAAAGTCTGAGATGTTTTAGGGCTATATATATAATTGGTATTTAAATTGATCCAGTGTGGTGAAACTAGTACAGATTGTATTGTATTCATTATAATTTGCATCACACTTCCTGCATATGTACCAAGAGTCACTCTATTTGATGTTGCTGGCAGAAATATTTATGTAATTGGATAAAGCATATACTAATTGTATGTGTATGTGTCAATAAAATTTATATAGTTGACACAAGCATATTTTACTTTCTCAAGCACTCTTTCCTATATTCTGTGCTACATTGTGGTTCTGTTTGAATAGATTATTGTGAATTCCTTGAAGAGGTAGTACATATCTTTCCTAAATTAAGTAATTTAGAAATGACTTTTGTACATACCATGTACTGTGGCAAAAATCATGGGTATCATATAATGAATCAACTAATTTGTGCTTACACTTTCAATTCTGGATTTTATGATGAATAACTAACAACGCACACACAAATATTAATTTTATTTTTAGCATGGAACTTTTGTAATTTAATAGTTGTAACTTCTGTTCAAATTTCAAAGATTGACAAATCCCAATTGAAATGCTATTTTTGAATGCCTTAGAGTCGGGATTGTTCAGTCAGTATAGTTTCTAGGATATAGGCTGAATGATTGGAGAATTTTGATTTTATTCTCAGCAGAGATTTTGCTTTCTCCATTGCCCACACCATGCCGTAGCTCAAGCAGTTAGTTGCTGGCTTCCCACCGCGAAGGCCCGGGTTCAATCCCGGGTCTGGTCAAGTGCGATTTGTGGTGGACAAAGTGGCGCTGGGGAAGGTTTTCTCTGAGTACTTCGGTTTCCCCTGCCAATCTTTGTTCCACCAATTGCTCCACAGTCACCCTCACCTATCATCTGGAGCTGGTACAATAGGCCAGAAGTTGCCACAGTACAAGGGACTTAGTCCCACCCCCACTAGCAATAAAAAAAAAGCCCCGTATTCAGTGAGAATTATTGCTCTTGCCACTCTTATAAATCTAATTTCATACTCATATCTCGTTGATTGATAACGAGCGAAGATTGTATTCTCTCACTGGAAGGGGTGGTTGTTGTGAGCGTAATTACAGAAGAATAGGCATAGATGGCAGAGTAATCAAGTAGTGTTGCGATGCATGTGTAAACGCTCTACGATCTCTACGATCAATGTAATTAGTAGGCAAACCAGGTTTTGTGTCGGTCGTGTGGGTTGTTAGAACCGTATAGAACGGTGCATAATCGTGTGGGAGGAAAGGCCGAATAATGTCAGCAATTACTTTGTTGAATCCAAAAGCAGAATTTGCGAGAGCTGCTCAGGCTCTTGCAATAAATATTTCCGCAGCGAAGGGTATTCAAGATGTAATGAGAACTAATTTGGGTCCTAAGGGCACGATGAAAATGTAAGTAGACGCATTCATGTGGCCATGTGGTTCCGAGGATTGGGATCCTACTTGAGAAATAAAATTATGAATTTATATTATGTATACAGTGTGCATCTTTAAAGATACCATAATACCAAGAAATGACGTACTATAGATGGTAACTGTATAAACAATAACTTTGCAAACGCTACCGCTTTACCATATATCGACATGATTTCCAGTATTACGATGACCTGTTATGGTTCATGTACCCGATATTGTGAATGTTGCTATAAGGTCGAGATGTTTTCTCACGATTCTTTAAATAAAGTAGCCGTACAAAGGTGACGAACGGAAGATAACAAAACTTGCACCCAGGTGACCGAAAACTAATGTTAAAGTAGAATTCAGGTTATGGTAGTGAGTTCAAAAATTTATTGTCCTCTATCCGTAGGCGATTTTTAAATTCTGGTGCAGCTCTTAGACTTAGACCCCTCGAATATGTGAAAATGAAGTAGTATTGAAATTACAATTTATAATTTTTGTTGAATGAAGTTTATGGTAAATCATAAAATGTTTCTCTTGCAGCCTGCTATAAACTGCTAATGTTACAAGAGCGTCAAATTATTTGTGAACATTTCAAGCTTTGTGATAGGATTTAATATGACTAGCTGATTGAGTATTCTGTATTCTCACTTCAATTTCTGCCAGCAGGACACATCTCTAAACCTGCAATTAGAATCAAAGATTTTGATACTTGCTGTTATTTTTTTTAATTAGGCTGGTGTCTGGATCTGGAGACATTAAGATTACAAAAGATGGCAATGTACTGCTTCATGAGATGGTAATGTATTAGGAAATTTGTTGGCAAGTATGTAATTATGGTCATGATCATTTTCCTACATTAAATGTTCAGTTGTGAAGTACAGAACTTGTTCTACTGCTTCACACAGTAAATATTGCTAGACAGTTAAAAGAATGCAGACAAGAAGTACGTATTAAAAGAACAATACTGACACTAACTTGAAGTAATGTATCCTATTCATTTTTGTGCCGAAGATATTTTCACAGTTCAGAAGATAATATTTTTGGCATCCATTAGTTAACTGTTGCTAAAATAAAGTGTGTTTATAAATAAGAAACAAATTGGGACTTTTCCTCCAAAGAAAAACTAGAAAATTTGTGGTCTGCATATAGTTTTTGCAAAGCAGTTTTTGTGAAAGAAGTCAAGCTGTGACTTGAAAGAGAAATGTTGTACATAATTCTGGAGAGACTTTGAAAATAACATCAGTCATGATGAGAGCAAAAAAAAAAGGCTGGGAGACTGAAAAGTTTTTTCACTTTTTTAACTTTTTTTTAGTGGTTAAGATATAATACATAAGAACTTCATACTTGTTAGGGATAAAGTAAAGGAATCCCATGCATCTCTAAGTATCAAGTCACAAAGAAGTGTGGGGACATAGAAATGAACTTCTGCGCATTTGTAACTTTTCAGTAGATGGATGTAAGCAGTCTTCATTCATACTCCAGCAACATTTACATCCAGAGGCAGCCCAAAGAATCTGTCACATGAGAGGCAGATTGTTCCACTGAGCTACTTTTAGAACAAAAAAAACTGGTTTTAGTCCACAAGTGAACTATACCGACTGAGCGACTGCCACTTGTCGGAGAAGTTAGTGCCAGCTTTAGCGGATAGAGGGTGTCGCGTAGTCAGCACAATGAATCCCCACAGCCGTTAATTTAAGTTTTCTAAATGGGAGCTTCTATTTCCTTGAAATAGCTCGTCAATTATCATCTCGAGGCTGAGTGGGCCCCATTCCAGACCCACTGCTTATCAGAAAATCGGGTAGCGCCGGGAATCGAACCCAGACCTCTGGATCTGTAGCCAGGAACTATGACCACTAGACCACAGAGGTGGTGTGAGCCACTTTGAGCATTGTAATAAAGTGAAGTTCATCAGAGGGTTGCGCAGTGCACATCGCATCACTTTACTAAATGAGATTTCATGGCTTCAGATTTTTGGCATGAATTTTAAATTCTAGATCTACATTTGGATAATGAGGAATTAATATGTATGCTTATTTGTTGATAGCAAATCCAGCATCCCACAGCTTCACTCATTGCACGTGCATCCACTGCCCAGGATGATATGACCGGAGATGGGACGACATCAACTGTTCTTGTTATTGGGGAACTCCTCAAGCAAGCTGACCTCTATATATCAGAAGTGAGTATAGTGGCCTTTAAATCATGACCTGACTTATATTGAAAAGTAAATGAACAAAATTGCTGGGTTTGAGATTCTCACAGCAGCAGAACATGATCGTGTGTGTTGTAACGGTATGTAGGTCAGCAGAAGTCCAGTCCTGTTTCTGACAAATGTTATCGGACTACTGCTGCTCTACATGATGTAAGAAGCTGTGATCTATCCATTTTTATCAATCTTGTCATGTGCTTGGAAATTTTATGTGTTTCTCTCTCCTAAATTTGTTTTTAAATCCTCTGAAACTTATAAATGTACACATGTGTTATGGTTTCTGAGATTCAAATTAAAAATTTATATTTTTATTGTGTTTTTGTTTTAATTTAACAGTAGGGCCATCATTAGATAATTATTTACACGATTATATCAGCATTGAAATAGCTGCACTGACATGAAAAGAAAAGTTTCCCTGTTATCATTTAATTATGCAAATAACTGTTCTGTCAGTAGCGTAAGTGACTTTTGCATTTTCTTGAAGCTCATAGATCCTCTTACCTATTTTGATGCAGAATTAATTATGAAGTAGTGAATCTGAAATATAATTTTCTTCCTGAGATGATGGCTTGCCTTGTAATTTATGATATTGGGTTATAAAATGTAATTTTTATTGGTTTGTTTTTCAATACTCCCTTCATTCTAACTGAAGAGTGGCATTACTTGGAATGAAGAGTGTTAGTTGTCTCAGAAACTTTGTATTGATTTTTGCCAAAGTAAACATGTTATGGCTAAAGTGTGTGATCGTTTGTGTTTAATTAACAGTTGTTTGTTTGTTATCAGGGTCTTCACCCACGTACTATTACAGAAGGTTTTGAAACAGCCCGACTAAGGACTCTGGAGGTTTTGGAACAGATTAAGATTAAGGTTGAACCAACACGTGCAGATCTGTTGAATGTGGCACGTACATCATTGTGTACCAAAATCCATCAGCAGCTTGGAGATGTCCTGACTGACGTAAGTGTTGAAACAGGACAGGTATTGATATTGATGTACAGTAAACCCTCATTATAATGGACCTGGCTATAATGGATTCTAGATATAATCCACCAAAGTTAGTAGGGTGTTTGGTTTTTAAATAAGCTTTTATGGAAACCAAAGTGAGTGAGTGAAATTAAATTAAGTCATCTACTAATTGTATATAGAAATGATGTTCTCTGTGCTTGTCAACTTTCGTTTATGTTAAGTTACACAATGTATAATTTTGAATTTTTAGATATTTAGTCACTGTGAAGGTTTTATAGTTCAGAAGTGTTTAAAATAAAAAGAACCCATTATAAGTACTTCAATATAATCACATTGTGTGTTTCTGTGTTATTGAGTGTACTGATTATGTTGTTTCATGTATTGTTTATGTATCCTATGGTGTACTTTTGTGAATACTCCTTCACTTGGTTATATGGGATATTGGCAATAACAGAAACCCTGTCTCCCCTGTTAGTCTGTTCCATTGCTAGGTAGTGGCTACTAGCAATGGAGATTCCTCACTGCTAACCACGAAGTGCCATGCTCACTTGAAACTCATGACTGCTAACTACTGAAGGGATAGTATAGTTGGCATAGCGACTAGCTACAGGCTGAGTGACTGAGGAGTTGGAGTTTGGGTCCCAGTAGGGTAAAGAATTTTCTCCACGTCATCCAGAGCGCCTCTGGGGTCCACCCAACCTTCTATCCAGTAGCTGGGAGGGGACTCTTTTCCTGGGGGCAAAAGTGGCTGGTGTGTGAAGCTGACCACTCCTTCCAGTTAAAGCCAAGTTCAAGAAAATGTATCCACTCCCCCATACACTTTCTTGCCATAGTGCTTCATTAGTTAAGCACAGGGACAATTTTACCTTTTTTTTACTAACCACTGACTTCCATCTCTGTCTGACTTCTTCTGTTGGGCCTCGCTATATAGCCTTGGTGCAGACCACATGGAAAACGCTGCTTGCAACTGTTCTTCTATTAATGTGTATTGATTCATTGCTGCAGAAATGTGTTTACTACACACCATTGTCTAACAGTGGCCACCTCTACTTGTTCACTATTCTGACATTCAGCCATCATGTCACATTGTGTAACTTTCATGAGGGGAACTATGGAAGGCATTTGATACATTGTAAGTTTACAGCGTGATACCAAGTGTTGGAACCACCTGATGATGCACCTTATTTGGGGTGTTGAAACATGTAGTAGTAAGATAAAGTATTGTGGACCACCATTTAGTTTTCCATGATATAAGGTTTTCTCTTGTTAAATTTCAATGATCAATAACATCAATGTGAAATTACCTCTAACAGTTTCTTCAGTTTAGTATTCCAATTCACTGCCCCTGAAAGAAATCTTGAATGGAGCTTTCGCTGTGTGCTGTATAAATGGTTATTGTAGTCAGTTGTATACTGTGGCAGATCAACGTTATGTCAGAATTGAGGATTATCATGCCTGGTAGTCCTCAAATTCACCTTTGCCATTTGTGATGGAAGTAAAAAACGTGTAGAAAATTCTGCACTGGATACAGTTGGTCTTGAACCTGAGGCCTTCAGTACAGAGGCCAATTATTTTATCCTTAAAGTATCACACCTTGGCTCTGTTGTCCTCAGGGAAACTTGGCAGTCATAACAAATGTCCAGTCCTATCTGTTGTTTGTCTTTTTCCTCCATCTCTTCAATTTCGGCTTTCATGGATCATTCCCTACATCTTAAGCCATCTCAGTTAAGGCCTTCCTAAAGCGGCCTCCGTAGTCTAGGGGTCACGTTCCCACCACGCGGGTTCAAACCCGGCGGAGGTCGTGGAATTTTTAAGGGTGGAAAAATTCAGGGAACAAGTCCTCCGGGAGGGACTTTAAGCCGTGGGTCCCGTGTCATAGATTTACAGCACGTGAAAGATCCTCATGTCTCTAGGAGACCTCTGAGCAAAATTAGGCAACAATTTCCCTCCCAAGTAGTTTCCAACACCTCTGGTAGAGGGGGAAAATATCAGGTACCGACGGCTGACCTCGACTGAACGGGGCTGATAGCACGCACCAGTACCACTAGGGTATGGCGACAGTAGAAATTAAAGGTGGACGCACAATGGACCAATAACTTGTCTAAGTGCATGGGGAAACCCACCCCCTCTAATAATAATAATAATAATAATAAGGCCTTCCTAAGTTTCTTGTACCTACTGTTTTACTTTAAAAAATCTTTATAGCCGCCTTTTACCCATTCTTATTACATGCCTCAATTGCTGCCAAGTTTCCAATTTAATATCTGCTACCAGTTCAAGGCCTTTATATACTTTTCTTAGTTCTTGGTTAGTTCTGATTCCACAAACTCCTTTTTCTGTTACAGGTCCGTACACCTTCCTCAGAATTCTCCTATCCTATGTATTTATCCTAACTTTATTCTTTTCAGTAATGGATCATGTTTCATGTCCATACATTGCAACTGGTTTTAACATTGTGTTGTATGTTATCATGTTCTCATCAAAAGAAATACATGTTGTCAGGATAGCTCAGTTACATAGTGACTAGGCTATGGGCTGGATGAACAAGGAATTGTGATATGATTGCTAGAAAGTGGCAAAAAAGTTTTTTCTTCTCTGCAGAATCCACACTGGCATTAAGGCCTCCCATCCAATGGACATTGATGTTTCTTTCTCTGGGGGTTAAGTGGCTATAGAATGAAGCTGGCCACATACCTCCATCTAGTGCTGAAGTTAAAAGTTCATGGAGATGTACCACTACTTAGCTGTTGGAGCTTTGTGGCAAGGTGTTTTATTTAAGCAGAGGGCAAAGTTAATGCCAACTTTAGCGGCTAGAGGGTGTCACATGGTCGGCGCAATGAGTCCACACGGCCATTAATTTCGGTTTTCTAGACCAGGGCCACTATTTCCTTGAAATAGCTCCTCATTTATCTAAGCTGAGTGGACCACGTTCCAGACCCACTACTTCTCATAAAATCTGGTAGCGCCGGGAATCAAACCTGGATCTCTGGATCTGTAGGCAGGAACTCTGACCACAAGACCACAGAGACAACCCTATTAATATGCCTTGGAGTTGAGGTTTTCTGTCATGTTTCAGATTTGTGTGGATGCGGTACTGGCGGTGCGTCAGAGCGAAATGCCAATTGATTTGCACATGGTAGAGATCATGGAAATGCAGCACAAGACATCTACTGAGACAAATCTGGTGCGAGGGCTTGTGCTGGATCATGGTTCTCGACATCCTGACATGCCTAAGCGGGTGAACAATGCCTATATTCTCACATGCAATGTAAGCATGGAGTATGAAAAAAGGTGAGTTTGTGTCATCCACTGCTTCATATGAAGGTGTTCCTGAAAAACCATCAGCCAAACATTCTGCCTTCAGGTGCTGGAACATATATAGCAGGTTGCTTGAAAGACCAGATGTTTACCAAACAAGTGAATTTTGCATTATGACAATGCATCTTCCTACAGGGCTTTTGGTAAAGCAGTTTTCAGGCCTAAATACAAATTATTGCTGGACTGCTTAACTCTGCAGAGAAAAATATGTCTTAATTCAGAAACAGAAGATACTGCAGTCTGGAAAGTGGTGTCATGTATTCCGGCAGAAAAGTAACAGCGTTTCAGAGGATTAGCACTTGCACTTATATAAAAGTTTTTTCTTCTACTAATCCTCAGAACGTTTTATCTCTGTTTTCTACTCAAATGTTTGGTTTCAGCCTTTTAGGGCCTGTGGTATCCCACTGGCCAGCTCACAGTCGTGGTTCCTTTCCCTATATCTATACCCTTGTTTTTCCCATGCAGTTTGCTTTTCTGTCCTGAGGGTGGTGGCAGTCTTGATAACTTTCTACCAGACAACATGGTGTCCAAAGCTAGAAGACAGTCATGTTCATATTTATGGCCATGAGAACATCAAATACCTGTTGTATCTTGTTGATACCCATTTGCTTGCTGACAGTGTATTTAAACTTTGTGTAGTGAGGTGACCTCTGGTTTCTTCTATAAGTCTGCAGAGGAGAGAGAAAAGTTGGTGTCTGCTGAACGAGAATTTATTGAGAAACGAGTGCAGAAAGTGATTGACCTAAAGAAGAAATTGTGTGACAAAACAAACAAGAGTTTTGTTGTTATAAATCAGAAGGTAAGATTTTGCATAGTGTTGTAACATGTAGGTTGGTACGCATGGTGAAAATAACGGGTTCTAGTTCAGATGATTGGATTTATTAGCCCTTCAGTTACAAGTTCCCATTGCAGCATGTTGCAGTGCTGGATTTTCAGTGGTGCTGAAATCTCCTTGATTATGATGTAGCAGCATTTGTAACATTTTATGCAATTCCATTTAGTTTCCACAGGATGTACTATTTAAAACAATTCAGACTACAACAGTGCATGTAAGTTTACAAATGACATCAGTATCACAAATGAGTTATTTGCTAGTTTTTATTGATGGGGCTAGTGTTTCTTCAATGTTGTGGAGGGTTCTGCCTGTTGTAAACGTTACCAGTGTGCCAAAATGGTGTTGTCAGTTAGTGTGCTGTAGTCTCATTTTGGTACTTCCTTGTCAGGGTATCCACTGTTGAATGCTTCGTGAACAGGACTAAACACACATTGTACTTGTGAATACACCATGCTCCCTCTTGCGGAGAGTCTGCACATCTAGCAACCCGGGCAACATTAACTTGAATGCCAGTAGGACAGATGGGAGAGTCCTTTGCATGGGTGGGGGCAACTTCTGATTTCATTTCTATGCACTAGACATGATTGTTGTTTTGTTTGCTTTTTAATTTTTATTTATTGCTAATTGGGTGGGACTAAGTCCCTTGTACTGTGGCTACTTCTGGCCTATTGTACCAGCCGCAGATGATAGGTGAGGGTGATTATGGAGCTATTGGTGGAATGAAGATTGGCAGGGGAGACCGAAGTACTCGGAGAAAACGTGCCCCAGCACCACTTTGTCCACCACAGATCCCACTTGACCAGACCCGGGATTGAACCCAGGCTGCCGCGGAGGGAAGCCAGCGACTAACCGCTTGAGCTATGGCGCGGCCCTTGTTTGTGTTTTAAATGTACACTTACTATATGGAGACAGTGGTGAGATATATCAGCCCCTGGGGAAACGTTTCTAATTCTGAATTGCTGACACTGTGCAGCTTTTTGTTTCCCTGTGACTTATTGTCCTCGAAAACACCGTAGTGCCCTCCGGTTTCACTTTCGCTAACATTTTCTCTTCATAAGCATAGATGATTTTGAGTGTGACCGCCAAACCAGTGGCTGTCTGTTTTTTTCTAGGTGCACACTTTCTTATATGCTGTTATAATATGTATAGTCTCTTGTATTATGTTTAAGGCCATTTATTTGGATAATTGTAAAGGGCTGTGATGATGGTGTATTACATTTGGAAGAACTGAGTTTATGAACTTTGCCCAGTGTATAATATTCAAGTAATTCCAAGCAAAGTAGACCCATTATGTGGCATGTATGGGGAATGGGGTATGCCAGTTATACAGGAATAAGGTGGTTGCATGAGAACTTTACAGAAATACGATAAAAAGTCAAAAAACATTTTCATTTCAGTTCTCTGTGCTGTAGGTACTGTGGCAATTTGAAGGGTGAAAGATTTAGGATGCATATATTTTAATGGGATCACAAATTTGACTAGCTTCTAGCGTAATGGCACTTCTGTGAGGGAGGACGATGGGTAGCATTGTTAGTGGGAGCTGGGAGAAGTACCACATGTCAGGTGAATATAAGTGCATCACAAATTTGTTTAGGAAAATCATAAATTTTAATTGAAAGTTTTCCAGTTTCATGGTAACTGGTAGTTTACTGTGTTTATGTTGAATCTGTCCATCTGTATATAAAAATAAAAACACAGTGTTTCCATTTAGGGGTCCAACAAAGTGTGAATTTCTCGCGCTTTTTTTACAGAAGAAGGCAATAGAATCCATTTCTATGATGGATGAAGCCTAAATAATTGATCTTAAACATCAAGTAAGTGTCAACCCCTTGTGTTAACTCATAAAACATTGAAGAAGTTGGTTCAAGTTTTAATGCTTCTGAATTTTATTTGGGAGATACCAGGTTCAGGTCTTAGACTGAGTGAGGTTTTTCATGGCTTTCCATGGTTTTCCATAGAAACTCCAAGCAGATGCCAAGATAGTATCTCAAATCAGGCCATTGTTGCTTCCTTCCACATCCTTTCCAACTCATTATTCACTGATTCTCATACCATTCAATGCTATTTAGTTTTAGTTACTAATAGCATCATTAAAATAAACTAATGAAACACAAATTCATATGTATACACCTTATTCTGTTTTACGTTACTGTATTTTATTGTACTGTCTCGTTCTGTTTGCAGGGTATTGATGCTATGTCCCTTGATATGTTTGCAAAGGAAGGCATCATTGCTCTTCGGAGAGCCAAGCGACGTAACATGGAGCGTCTGGCACTGGCGTGTGGTGGTTCTGCCATGAACAGTGTTGATGATCTCACAGAGGAACATCTTGGTTTTGCAGGCCTGGTTTATGAACATGTACTGGTATGAAAGTTGTATTTTCATGTGATGTACAGCATTGCAGCGAAGTCTTGTTGGGTAATTAGTGATGTGAAGATAATGTTAGTATCCAGTGGTTCAGGAACTGGGACAGACAAGAACACACCCTGTGTGTATAAATACAGTATGAACCTTGTTACTTGTCACATCAACTCTGGATAATAGAGTCAGTCTCTGAAACTCTGGATATTAACTCCATCTTCATCTGAATGATTACTCGAAAATACTTCATTGCATATAGACGCTGTGAAACTTATAAACCAACACGTTTTAAGCAGTTCGTGACATCGGTAGTAGTGGGATACAAATTATACCATGAGCCTGAACTTCACTGAATGTTCTGTACTAATGTGTTGTTCGTTTCACAGGGTGAGAACAAATTCACATTTGTTGAGGAATGCAAGTTTCCACAAAGTGTTACCATCTTGATCAAAGGTCCAAACAAACATACACTCACACAGGTTAAGGATGCTGTTCGTGATGGGCTGCGAGCCATAAAGAATGCTATTGATGATGGTGAGTTCAGCAGTGTTTTTAAAAAAAAATTTTTTTCGTGATAGCTCAGATGAGGTAGTTTAGTAAAGTGCCTTGTTATGGGGCAGACATCTGGAGTTCATTTAGGGGAAGGAACAAGAATTTTCCACACTTGTTGCCATGCCCAGGCAGGTTCTGAAGTAGACATATGGCCCCCAGCTAGTTGTCACTGAGGGCCCTGTCTGTGGTTTTAAAATTCCAGAGCATGAAGCAGATGGCCCACCTCCATGTATTGCTAGAACTTAGAACGTGTAGAGCTTTACAGCTCTGTTAATCCTCTTTTTGGATGTACACAACGTGCAGACCAGGGAATCTGGTAGTATTTGGGTACAGAAGCAGTCATGGCTGAGTTTGAAATAATATCCTGTCATTTGCCAGGAGAGATTTAGGGAATGCTTGAGAAACCTGTCATGATAGTTTCTGGATTGAGATTTGAACTCCAAACCTCAAAATATGAAGCTGGAGTGCAAACTACTAAGCCACATTTGGTTAGTTACTGTCAAGTGTATGTTCATTGAATAGAGCTTCACTGATAAGTTATATTGCATAGGCTGTCTCATTCCTGGTGCCGGTGCCTTTGAAATAGCAGCGAGTCAGGAGTTATTCCGCTACAAGAATGAGGTGAAGGGTAAAACTCGTCTTGGTGTTCAAGCCTATGCGGAGGCTCTGCTTATCATTCCCAAGACTCTGGGTAAGTGAGTTTTTTAGGTGTTTTATAGCAAACACCATCGGCTTCTTTTTTGTCATTATGCATTTTAACTACCAGTTACAAATAGGTGCTAAAGGAGGCAGCATGGTAGGTATGCTTGAGTCACTGTCACATTGTCAGACTTTGCCAGATATTTCCTCTAGATAGTTGTTCTGCTTAGTGAAAACTGTTATTCTGTCAAGTTTAATGTCAGAGAATGGATGTATTTGTCTTTCCAAAACTTTTCATGTTGCTGAAGTTAGGTAAGTTTGACAGGTTGTTTAAATAATTTCTCATTGGTATTCCAGTTGGCTCAGTGGTAAATAACAGTTGGATGAGAACTTACGCATAGCACAGTCCATTTCCCAAAAATACAAATTAAGCAGGGCCTTCCTTCTACTTCAAATGGTTACTTTGGATTGCTGTAAAATTTTAAGTAGCGTATATAAGAAACTGCCCATACAACAAAGTTGGGTTCGTTATTTTTAACATTATAGGTGTGTTATTTATTTTATCTTTTGCACAATAAGTATAGGACTTACTTTGTCTCATGTCACATATTTGTGGTAATTTTTGGACATTCTGAATATTCTGTGAAGTGTTTTGGTTAAAACAGTAGTTCGGTCTGAAGTCTAAAGAGAGAAAATACAGATTACACTAACTGCATGAGGGAGAAACCTTCTTGATAATAGTCACCTAGATATGGAAGAAATTTCCCACCTTCTGTGGAACTTTGTTACCATGTTCACAAGATCCTATCACTGGTCCAAATCCTGAACCACATAAATCCAGCCCACACCCACCCACCCTGTTTCTTCAGAATCCTGTCTTCCAAGTTGGCTCTTCCCTTTGTACTTCCTAACCAGAATGTTGTACACATTTATCATCCCTCCTGTGCATTCTACATGTTCTGTCCATCTCATCCATATGGACTATACAGATTACGTAGACTTTGTAGGAATGGGACTATTTTGTTATCTTTGCAGCTGTAAACAGCGGTTTTGATGCTCAGGACACCATTGTGAAGCTGCAGGAAGAAGCGCAACTACTTGGTGAGCCAGTTGGATTGGATGTTAATTCTGGAGAGGCGTTAAGACCATCAGATGCAGGGATCTTTGACAATTACATTGTTAAAAAGCAGATTATCAACTCTTGGTGAGTAAAATAATTTATGGATTGGTACTCATTTTGCAGATTATGTACTTCTGCAAGAAACTTAATACATCAAGAATTAGTACAAGTATTATGTTTTTGGACATTATCCATCGTCCTGTATATTTTCTAAAAAACTGTCCTGTTTCGTTTTCAAAACACAGTGGTTCAGAGACTGGATTCTGTCCTTGTCGTCAGGTAAAAGCTAGTCAGTTGGGTCCAATAGCTGAAGCTAGTCCCTGTTTCCTGAGGACGGGGACAGAATCCAGTCTCCAAAATGTTGTTTTGAAAAATAAACAGGACAGTTTTTTTAGAAAATAGACAGGATGATGGATAATGTCCAAAATCATAATACTTGTAGCAATGTACCATCATCACAAACTTTTAGATCTTATCAAGAATTAGCCTGACCACAGTCTCATACCAGAGGAGTGTTTGGGTTAGTTACAAATAGTACCTACCTTTATTATTGGTGGATGTAAGCATTTAGGCTTCTGTTTATTGTATTTTTTTTTTCTTTTGGTTAAAATAACATGAAGTGTGGTCTGTATTTTCTTTTAATGATGCCAGTTTTGTATAACATACTGTTTGTTTTAGTTCTGTGATAGCAAGCAATCTGCTTTTGGTGGATGAGATCATGCGAGCTGGTATGTCATCACTGAAAGGCTGAGACAGTCACGAGATGATCCACAGGCATCAGCATTCCCTACACACTTCAACCTCATCATTGCTGCTAAAGAGAATTTTCTTTAATTAAATTTAAAAAATTAAAGAAATGACTAGACTGCTAATACAGATGCTCACATTATATTCATATATGTAATTTCACGTATTACACCAAAATGTACCAATGAATTTTCTGATGATAGTGAAGACAGTTTTGTGATATAATGCTTTCTTTGATATGTGCCAGAAAAATTAAACTCATCATTAGAATTCTTTTCTTTTGACCTTTGGAAATTGTTGTGGAATACATAAGAAATTGAAGTTACAAATTTAATTTTGCATACCTTATCCACTGGATTTTTCTCAGTTATAGTATCCTTGAGTATATTATGTTGTGTCCCAAATGATATCCAACATTGAAATTGATTGCAGTACTCAAATACATAAGTTGCAGCCCTATTGCAGTGTTTCATTACAGTGGTCAACTGAAAATGCAGGCGTAAGTAAATTTATAAGTTTTAAAATAATGAAACAAAGTAATTTCAGATACAAAGGACTGCTCTTCACCAGCAGTTAACACAAAAACCCAGCATTGTCATATTCCATCCCTTTAAGTCTCTTCATGCTATGGTTCTCACATTATTTGACAAAACTAACCCCTTACTCTGTTGCCAGACAAGTTGCTGGGCCGGAGATGAAGCCCAGAACTTAAAAGACTTGAGCATGAGATAATGTGCTGCCTGGTTAAGGCTGTCACACACACTGATGAGTATGCAGCAATGAAGGAATTATCAACAGGGGAAAGCCAAATGAGCTTGGAAAAAATGCTGCTTTAGATCCATTTCTCCCAGTATGAATCTCACATGACATGAAAAGTCTAAACTATGGACCATGTGGTTTGATAATGCTGAAAATTGAGCTTATTAATATCTTGATGCATTGTATTAGTTTTGCATGTAAGAAAGTGTATTGCTACTTAAAACTTGTAGAACTTTGAAATTGATTTGTAATAAAAATCTCTCAGTTTTAGTAGTATTCATTATTACATTATGTCACTTGGTTCACAAGACTTGGGTATATTTGTAGATCAGAACAGTACAGTTTACCTAAAATGATGACTTTATGGACAGCTGGGATTAATATGTGTTGCTGTCTCATCACCCAAATGCAGGGCAAAATCATGACACAAAGACAGGTAACATATTTTTGAAAATATGGCACGTTTCCTATATTTGTGAACGACTATGACAAAACAAAACCTGATTCAGGTAATGCTTGCAACCAGTCAGTCCAGAACCTTTTTTCTTCTTGTCTGCTGTCTAAAAACATAAAAATCAGAACGCTGCAGTACGCAGAATTCAGTTATTCAGAACAAATACTGCAGCATTTACTGACAGTGGCTTACTTCTCATTTGGAATTATGTCACAGATGGTAACAAATTTGTCTGAGCTACTACATCCACTGTTTAGCTGGTATAGTGACTGCCTACGGGCTGGTCAACTGAGAGGTCGGAATTGTAAGAGTCCCCATAGGGTGAGAATTTTCTCCATATTGTCCAGATCGACTCGGGCCTACCCAGCCTCTTATCCAATGGTTACTGGGGGTAAAGCGGCGTGAAGCTGACCACTCACCTCCAGCTTGTGTAAAGGTCAAGAAAATATGGATCTGTACATCCACTCCTCCATACGCCTTTATGTCATAGTGTGTAATTAGTTAAGAACAGAAACTTTACTACAACCACCACTAGGCAACACATATCAAATACATTTAAAACACAAGTACCATCTGCAATTGCATATGTAAAGGTAAGAGAAACAAGCATTTTGCTGTAAAGGTTGTGATTTAAACCAAGCGGTAGCCAAAAACAAAACGCCAGCATAAATTTACAAACATCGTTCATCACACCCTCATGCTAGCATATTACCATTTGACACCAGATAGCACCAGGGGCATATGGAACAAATCAAGATGATCAAGATCACCAACGGAGGAATTCGCGTACATATTTTTCAGAGGCATTCATGTAATCTTGTTTTGTTAATATCACACATGTATATAAAACAATAAAACTCTTAGGCCAATATTCACTTTTAGGAATGTCGTGCAGGCTTACTTCGAAACATGTATCTGTTTTAAGTTTATAACTGTATAAACTGTGGCAACGGTTGGCAATGTTATACGTAACAATCTAATGGACAGGACGCCATAATGGAATCATTGGTGGGTTATGGAAGTGACGACGAAAGTGGTGAAAATTTTCAAGATACTAAGGTAAGCACCGTAGAAATATGCATTCCTCTATGATGCGTGTATTTAATCTTATATAAAGAATTAAATTAAGCATCAGTAGATGGGTTAACATCAGGGACCGTCTTGACGCCTACGCACAGGCTTTGGTCGATGCGAAAGTGCACAATGGATGCCTTTCGTGTTGCATAATTTTTGTAACTTAGAAGTAAAGTCTTTTATTTTTAGCTAGCTTTTCTGTGTTATAATTTCAGCATCAGAAGGACGACCTAGGTAGAGGTATGGACAGGATTCGGCAAGGTGAAGAAGATGTGAACTATGACAATGTGCAGATGGATATGAGTGAGGTAGGACATAAGTTATGCTTCTAAACTTGGGGCGGGAGGGACTGAAAGATTTTAAAGACATTGTAATGACCCTTATTATTTATTAAGGATAAACTTTGTCCCAGTTCGTTGATTTCAGTTTTATTGCATAATAATTTGTTTAATGCTAGATTTAAGTTGATTGTGACAGAAATGTAGATCCATAATAGACGTTAAATGTTTCCTGCATAGCAACCCCATTGTAACACAAAGTTGTAAGGGGAGAAATCAAAACTTTATGAATGCTTCAACCAGATACCTTTTAAAATGCAATATGCAATCGGAAATGTGTATAAAGATCGAAAAATATTAACACGCTCTGTTAAACATACTACCATGTGCATGGACAGTGGTGCCAATGCCATCGCAAGGCGAGATGTGTAAAGTTGCAACGCTCTGATCTTCAAATCAACACTCAACAATCACAAGATGTGATGGGGTGAGTACCAGCAGGCCAGGTATACTGAGCAAATCATACCAAGTAAGTGTTCAAATATCCTAGTATGTAGGAATAGCACACTGAGTGCAACAGCAGCTTGTGCCAAGACCACTTGTATCAGGGAAAGGTCTTGAGGTCTCGACGTAATTTTGAATGTGGGGAAGAGAATTATGATCCCAGTGGAATGTGGGAAATTTCAGACTTATTTCTGGAGTAACAGCAATGTTAGTAATTGTTTAATAGAGCTGCTGAGTTGTCTGTTCTGATGAACCTGTTGGGTTAACCCATTTTACCTACAAATGGCAGTTTGTTAATTCCATGGCTATCCATTTTAAGTATTTTACAGATAACTTTGTGGCAATCTGTAATATGCATCTGAGTGTTCACTGTTTTCATATTACATCTGCATGATCAGTTGGACTTTCTATGAAAAGTGTAATTGGTTGTCATATAAGGTTACACTCTTGATATTCTTGAACTTCTCCAGGAACCAGGGTGCAACACTGTAAGTCAGTGACATATGTCATTATGTAACAATTACAATTTCTGTTTTCTATACTTAAACATATGCTGGTGGGAAATTCAGACATTCTGGATTAATACTTTTCTCACCAGATGGCCGTGAGTATGTGTGGGTGATGTAAAGACACTGTATGTGTACAAGATTGTGAGATTATTTTAATCTGCTATATTACTTTTACTGGGGAATTGTCGTAGTATCAGTTCTACAGTCTCATGTGCAAAACTAATGTTCTACTAAACTTATTAAAAGGTATTCACATTAAAAGTTTTACACTACGTATTTCGACTAATGTGGTCATCATCAGGTGTAAGAAATTATGGAGACGGAAACTGCAGTCTTCTCTGTTGTTGCCTGGGTTAATATATGTATAGTCCCCTTGATGTGCATGTGTGATCAAGGTGGTGGGTTGTATTCCCACAGAATACAACTCACCACCTCGATCACACATGTGCATCAAGGGGTCTGTATATTAACAACCTAAGCAACGATAGAGAAGACCGTAGTTTCCTCACCCATAATTTCTTACACCCGACGATGACCACATTGGTCAAAACATGTAGTGTAAAACTTAAATGAATACCTTTTAATAAGTTTTACAGAACATTAGTTTTGCACGTGAAGCTTTAAAACTAATTACTAGATATATAATGTGTGTAATGGGGGCAGTCTACACAACAGTATTCATGAAAAACAAAATAGACACTATTGTGTCAACATTTGTTTTATTTTGCTGTTGACACTACATGTTTCGGCCCTTCTATTGGGCCATCATTAGGTGCACAATGCTGCTAGTCCAAGTTCTTGAATTGCCTGTAATTTCAGTATGGATCCATATTGTATTCTTGTGAGCCTTAAATCCAGAAATTTAATTTAAATTAAAACTTAAATACTTAGGCAGTAAAATTTAGAATTAAAAATTATCTCTTTAAAACTTTGTGACTGCTATGTGTGGATATGCTTTTCTGGTGGTAGAAGCAGTTATAGTGTGGGGTGCCTGCATATCGCGATATTCTCTCGTATATTAGGTCGTGTGGTTTTGACCTTGCGCTTGTCTTGTGGAACCTATGTTCATTATTCTGTTTTATCACCAAGCAGGTTGTTTTCTTGGAGTGTTCTGTAACACTTTATTAATTATTATGAGGTGTCGCTTGTGAGTGTGTTGTTATTAAACCCGTTCTTAGGTTGTTTAGTATATGTACTTATGTATACAGCCTGCTCCCTGTTAGGATGCTGTCACTATGTTGTAGTGGTTTGCCCTAGACTACTTGTGTGTGCGTGGGGGGGGACGGTATATGTGTGTATGTAGATTTGAGGGTTATGAGATGGGAGAGAATACTGTGGTTGAAGGGATGGAGGAGGGGTGGGGTTATTTGGTGTGTGTGTTTTTATTAGAATATTGAATATGGGGTTGTGGATATTGGTAAACGTATCGTTCATCTGTAGACTTTTCTTTATTATGTCACATGTACAATATCTTTCTGATGTGTTAAGTTTGGGTGCCTTCCCTTCTGTATGTAATATTTTCATGGTCTGGTCCATCGTGTCAAATGTATGTCCAGTTTCAAAAATGAGTTGTGTGAATTTATAATTTTGTTTATAGCATTTATATGTTCACTGTAGCAGACTTTGAATGTGCGTTCTGTCTGTCCGATATATTTGAGTGGGCATTCACCGCATTGTAACTGGTATATACCACTCAGGTTGTATGTCTCCTGGTATGTGACACACAGCAGGATGCATACTAATAAGATTTATAACTGATTGATTCTAAGTGAAAAGTGCAACAGGATGCTGCAGTATAATATTGTGGGAATTGCCTTATTATTTTTTTAGAAATAATATTTCTCTAATATGTGTAACTGAAGTTGCAGTACCGATCCATTTTCATTTCTATAAATATTGTGTAATTAAGGTACACCAGTTTCTGCAAGCCCGTGAGGTCTGCTACAGTGCCCTTTTTCCTGATAGTATCAGTATAGTAGGTGTGTAACTCATTTTGTCAACAAGTAGGGCTGATACATGATTTAATGCCGTCATTACTAGTATTTATTCACCAATTGTAGAAGCTCTTTTCATTGAACTGAGTTACATTGAGCTCTTTTGTTGTATGAAAATAATGAAACAAACAATCAAAACTCCCCTGTCTCCTCTCTCATCCAAAAACGTGTGTCACTTCTGTCATTACTTCAGCATCTAGAAACAGCCTAAACTAAGACCTACTTTGAATTCTCTTTGTGGTGCGTTATAGAGATGAGTTACCTTTACAAACATGAATAGAATTACAGTAAACAAAAATATACGATGGGCAGTCAAAAAGTTCCCGGAATGGTAGGACATATGGCAACGCTTACCTAATCACCTTCAAAGTAGGACCCTTGCGCGCACACACTTGCTCCATCGATCCTGCCATTGTTGGAAGCAGTGGTGGAAGGCTTCTTTTGGAATCTTCCAGATTTAATGTCCTCCATGGTTGTGAAACGTGTCCCCTTGAGGCCCATTTTCAGAGTAGGGAACAGTCAAAAGTCACTCAGAGCGAGATCTGGAGAGTACGGTAGTTGAGCGATGACACGAATGTTTTTCTTGGCAAGAAATTGTTGCACAATAAGCGATGTGTGCCTCGGTGTGTTATCGTGATGCATAAACCACTGTCCCTTACACTTGTTGCACTGCTTCCTTTGAACTGCATTGCACAACCTCTGCAAAACTTGCATGTAGAAATGGCCAGTAACAATCTGTCCAGGCGGTAAGAACTCGTGTTGCACCAAACCATTGATGTCAAAGAATGCAATGAGCATCACTTTGTCTTTTGATCTGACAAGGTGTGATTTTCTTGGCTGGCGAGGAGACAACGTTGTGTGCCACTCTGATGACTGCATCTTCGTCTCCGGGTCATAGGCGAACACCAGTGACAATCTTTTTGAGAAATGTCGGGTCCCTAGTACTTTTGTCAGATGATCGCCAGCGACCATCATGTGACATTCAATCTGATCCGTGCTCAGCTGCCTCAGAACAAACTTTGCACTGACACGTATCATCAGATCATTGGACAGAATGGCATGAATGGATCCGTGAGAGATACCAACTTCTTGCTCCATCTCCGCGATGGTCATTCTTTGATCACATTGAATCAGATGTCACACTTTTCCAATCATTTCTTCAGTTCTGGATGTCGAAGGTCTCCCGATGTGCTGGTCATACTCTAACCTTTCCTGCCCATTCTTAAACCAGGAAAATAAGTCATAAACTGTGGATTTCTTTAGTGCAGTATCACCATAAACTTGCTGCAGGGCCGATTGCATCTCTGAAGCAGATTTTCCAAATTTGCACATGAACTTGATGTTTGCATGCTGCTCATACCGCGACATTGCGCCGAATGACCAACACTCACGTCTAATTCAAACGGAACAGTAACAACACTGCACACTGAAACCTGTCCAAACCTGTTGCACCTGCGAGCAGACATGCTGAGCTCCCCACCACAACAGTGTGTGCTCTATCTTATTGCTCGTTCTCCGTCTGCAGGGGAAATCTGGGAACTTTTTGACTGCCCTACATGTTAGCAACAACTGCACTATAATAATTTACAATTACTAAGGGCGTTCCGTATATAATGCCTCCTATTTTTTTTAAAGAAAACTACAACAGATACAGAAATCATAATAACACAGTTAAATAGAGCAAGATTTCAGCTACTTACAGCTATTTTTCCACATAATCAGCACCATTCGTTATGCACTTTTGCCGTCAATGAACAAGAGCCTCTATGCCACACCCGTAAAAGTCTGTGCCAGCAGAGGCTAGCCACTTTCTTACAGCTGCAGTGATAGCATCGTTGTCTGGAAAATGTTGCCCACGTAGTCCGTCTTTCATAGGCCCAAATGGATGGAAGTCTGAAGGTGCTAAATTGGGGCTATAAGGTGGATGTGGTAGGACAGTCCAGCCAAACTTTGCAATGTGCGCGTTGGTCGCCAAACTGGTATGGGGTCTAGCGTTATCGTGTTACAAGCGAAAGGTTGTCTGCTTCTCTGGCCTGATTCGGGAAATACGGGCTTTCAGCTTAGTCAGCATCGTCTTGTAGCATTCAGAATTGACAGTCCCTGGTCGTTATCTGCTGATCTGTTCGGATGAGGCACTGTTCATTGTGAGGAGTGGCAGCTGAGCAGGGATGCCCATGGCGTGGCTCGTCGTGCACTTCACTTTCGCCACTGTTGAAACACACTACCCACCGAATCACTGTGCTGACATCCACTGTATTGTCTCCGTACACCTTTAGCAAGTGTCGATGGATGTCATTGGGTACAATTTGTTCGGCAGTGAGAAATTCAATAACACATTTCTCTTTCATACACACTTCTATGTTAGACGCCATTTTGGTAGACTGCTCTGCTGTCGTTATCTGTCACACGACAACCAAATTAACAGTACATTGTTCGGAAGGTTCAACCTTTACTACAACACCACCAACATCCAGCTCAGACGTTACATATTAACACAAAAAAATAGGAGGCATTATATACGGAACGCACCACGTATGTACATATATTCAGTATATTGTTTTCACCTAATTGGCCATCATTAGGTTCTGATGTATTCATGTTACACTTATTTTTTTTTAATTTATATGTTGGTTTATATAATATTTCAAACTATTATATGTTATCTCTTGGTCTCTTTGTTTCACATGCAGACTGTGAACTGCACTGACATAGAAGCAGTAGAAGTAATTTTATGTGATGCTCCAAGCTTTTACTTTGTATTCAGCAGAAATGAACATAACAAACCTGTTCCAATAATTCCTCCCATATCTATTCAGAGCTTCCATTCGAAACCCATTTTGACGAATGTTGCTGCCTCTTATCCTGGGCCCAGGCCAATTCATTGGGGCTGAAGAGCCAAAGAGACAAATTTAAAATCTCAATGAAACCAATCCATAGGAAATACAGTCACAACCAAACATATAACTAAGGTTACCCCAACCCATGAAATAAGGGAAAGAAAGAAGAAGAAGAAATGATAAAAAATAATGAACTGTTCACCAACTCCCACTTAAAAAACATAAAGGGCTTAAAAAAAGAAAAGCACTAAAAACCTTAGCATTGTAGTACTCTATAAGACAAAATAATCATTACCAACACCACGAATCATGGAAACCAAAATAGAAAGACCTAATGACCCCTCACGCACAGTAAAAGACAAAAAAGGCATTACAAAATAAAGCTCATAATTAAAGGAAGAATGATAGAAACAAATAACAATGAAAAGAATCAAAGCCAGAAATTCCAATCTTAATAAGGTAGCCAACAAATGCTTACAATTGGAAGAAAAAACCCAAATACCACAAAAGAAAATAAAGGGAAAATAAAAACGTGTTAACATTAAACAGGTTTTAATAATTTAATGAAAATATTGGTCTTGTAAAGCAAAAATAAGCACAGCCTTTTAAAACTTTAGAGGAAAGAATATACTTATCAGTAACCTCCAAAGTTAACATTTTAAAATAAACTACCCCCTGAAATTACTAGGAATAATAAGTGACATGTATAAAACTTTGTCCCCATGCTATTCAGTCAGTTCATTAATTTTAAGTCTGAGAAATAATTTTGTGTAACGTAGGTTGTCCCTGAAGAAGGAGCTAACAAGTGCCTCTGTAATGTAATGTTGGCTGAATGCTTAAGAAATAGGCCTAGACTGGCTCTTGCACTGTGGCCGTCAATGACCTATTGTTCAAAATGTTAGCAACACTGCCCACAGCCACACAGTGCAAAGGGCCAAGAATGTTCTGGTATTGCTGTGTGTGACCAAATTTTTTTATTATTTTTTAATTTCAAACCCTCATCTTGGAAACAAGAACGAACATCTCTCATTGCCTTGAACCAAGAATTTCATTCGTGGTTTTTCTCAGACATAGCCAATATTTCAAGCTAATCTCCACATAACACAGCTGGCTGGCTATATATGCAAAATGTTTTTAGAATGTGAATGTCATTCTGGTGTTTGTGTCCTGTAATGTTTTATTAACTGCTTTACAAATGCAGAATATAGTGAAGTGGCTTTTATCTTCCCAGAGAAGCTCTGCCCACTGAGGTCCTAGCAGGTGCCACAATAACAACAGAAGTAAAGCACATAATATGACAGCATAACAAACACTACAACCAGTCTGGGATTTCTCTATGTGTATATGCACATCTAGTTTTAGGTGGGCGCCAGTGGGGTAGGTCCACTAAAGATAAGTACACTTTAGTTGCTTGATTCACTGTACAAGGGGGTACCCAAAAGAAACTGAACTTATTTTTTTTTAAACTTATTTATTCAAATTTTAAGCACAAACCTTCAATCCCCTTCAAAGTACTCTCCACTTACACTAATACACTTGTGTAGTCTTTTATTCCATTTTTCAGAACATTGTCTAAATTCATCTTTTGAGATGCTTGACAACGCCTCTGTCGTTTTTTCCTTTCATGTCTCTTTTCGAGGAAACAAAAAAAGTCGCACGGGGCAAGGTCGGGTGAGTATGGAGGGTGAGGAACAGGGGTCATACCATTTTTGGTCAAGAATTGTCGTACAGACAGGGCTGTGTGAGCAGGGGCATTGTCATGATGGAAAAACCAGTCACCAGACTGCCACAAATCTGGCCGCTGAGCTCCAAGTCACTTCCGACAGCTCCACAATTTCTTCAATGGTCTGTCGTCGATCTTCCTTGATGATTTCACGAATTTTTTCAACATTTTCATGTGTTTGAGCCATGGAAGGATGACCAGAATGAGGTTTGTCATCAATTGACATTTCACCATTTTTGAAACGGGGAAAACCACTCAAACACTTGAGTTTTCCCCATAGCATCGTCCTTTTACGCTGTTTTTAACATTTCAAGTGTTTCTGTTCCACTTTTCCCGAGCAAAAAGCAGAATTTCACCACCGCACGCTGTTCACGAAAATCAGCCATTGCAAAAACGACGATCACACAAAACAGTTGTCACTATAAACTCTGCCGAAACTAGTCCTTACCTTCTGAAGCAACGGTAGTCGTCTTATCGACTCAGGAATGTTAGCTCTATACGCTCATAGCAGCAAAACGCGGTACTACAAAAGCTCTGCCCATAAAAAAATTAGTTCGGTTTCTTTTGGGTACCCCATCGTATATGCTCAGGTCACTCAGTTGTATCATTGCACGAGGTCTTGGGTTCATGGCCCAACAGGACTTGGTAAGAGGATTGTGTATCTTGTAATGGCAGAATGGTGGTGTGTGTATAGCCTGACAGAGGATGGTGTGATAGTAGGGTGTGGTCAGAGCAGTTCACCCTTTTCCTCTTGTTTTAAGATACAGGCAGCACTATCGTACATGTATTTAATGTAAATGCAGCAAACACTGTTAAACTGTATAGACAGTTTTGAACAGCAAGTAAGACAATCTGAAGGCAGCTTGAATAAAATTTTGTAGCAGGCTTTCCTTTGTCTTTAGGCTTGCAGACTGCTTTCGTTCAGAAAGTTCAGAACACCACTGAAACTGCTGCTAAGGAGTGGTCAGTATATTAACCTCAGCAGTGGCCTTGCCAACCCACAATAGGGTGAGAAGCCCTCAGCTGACATTATAATATATCTTGACTGGACAGAGGGAGAGATTTGGGCACATGTCCTCCATTTGTTAACTCTTCAAACTGCACCGCTCTGCTCAAAGCTCCCACATCCAGCGAAAAAGTTTTGGTGTGTTTCCAGAAGTGGACATGCATACTGCTAAACATACAGCGATGTAGCGGTGTCCGAGATTTGAACTTGGGTCCTCCAAAGAGCACTAGACCAGATACAACACACTGTTCTTTCTTGTATGTTAACCTATTGCAGATGCATCTTTCAGAAGTTTCTTCATTGTAAGGCAACATGAGACATTATTTACAGATATAAGTATGTTAAAGATTTTGTGCTCGTCAACATTAAACTACGCAGCCTTTAAATGATGGCCCCTAGAACTATCATGCAGAATACCCGATTGAACACCGGACTTTTCTTATGTGAAAGCAAGTACACATGGTATTATGACGTGCCCTGGTTCTTGGACTGGTTCATTTTAATGTAGTTGTTACACAGTCATGCAATTTACTTATAACCTTGTTTTAATTTTGTTACTAATTCTTTTATATTTACATGATGTGATTTTAGTATCTTGTTTAACGTAGAATCAGCAGTATAATACCGTATGCACCAAAATTATTCAGTACTGAAATGAAAAGACATCCTGTTGATACCACTGTCTATTCATGTGAAGGTCCCTTGCACGACAGAACATTCTCAAATCCTGAAGAAATGGTCCGATCACCATGTCCCTGTAGCGTTCTTGGGTGACAGTAAGAGCATTGTCTTCCTCATCCTCAATGAAATAGGGGCCTAATATACCATGTGCTGAGACAGCACACTATATCGTCACATGTGTACCGTGTAGCGGCTTTGGACAATAATATCTGACCGTTCAAAACCAAGGAAGCGAGTTATCTGATGACCACTTCTGTATGAGCGGAAATAATACTCAACTATTAATACTTTTCCCTACGTCAAGAGACCCATTTCCAACAACTGCCCAACACAACTTCCTTTTTGCTACTGGCAACACGTGCGGCTGGAGCTATGCCCCATTGACAAACGCACATGCGTGAGTTTCAGTACTGCATTTTTGGCGCATACTGTATTACTGTTTGGTCATTAAGTGATTTATTTTAATAGTTGGTATTCACAGATGGATTTCCACAACAGAAGTAAAAAATTGTATGTTGTGTAGTTACAAGAATTGAACACAGTACATTTTAAATTGTGGGATTTTCATTGGAAATATTAAAATTTATTTTAAGGGATTGTTTATTGAAGTAGATGAATGTCCAGTGATGGTGTTGATTGTTAGTAAAGCTTATGGTTCCAGGGGATGGAAACAATGGCTTTGACAGCAGTTGGCATGATAAGAGACTGGAACGGTCACGTATCCGAGGTTTGATTAATCCATCATCTCTTCTTTTATCAGGAGTCCAACAATAACCACACTGGTAGTAGCAATGAGGATGATAAGTCTTCTACAAAGTCGTCATCATCGTCTCGTTCATCTCGATGTTCTGACAACTCTTTGGCCAGTATTGGAGGTGGTGAACGAGGTAATAGGGGAGAGGACCCTGCGAAGGAAGGGAAATCTGGAAATGGGATGACCCCAACAGAAGCCAGCATCAAACGGCAAGAGGACAGTAGACACAAGATAGAAGATAGGCACAAGGAGAAATCATCTAAAGGAAGATCTGACAGAGAAAAGAAAGACCGTCATGAAAGTCGTAACAGCAAGGAGCATGGTCACCGTGACTACAGGTTAGCCATCTTTTCCTGACTGTTCAGTCTGCACAGTTTTCATGTCTGTTATTTTCCAGCTCATGTTTGAACCTTTTATAAAGACTGTCTTTGTTTGAGATAAGGCAGTTATTTTTGTTAGGTAATTCTGAGAGCGGAAAGGTTTTCTTAAATATTTTCATTTGTCTCAATATTTTCTGTTCAAAAAATGTTTTGTGTTTGAAGGTATCTGCCTTCTTGGATGTGATGCATTGTAATTTAGTTATTTACCTACATTTTGGAGGAGCCTCCTGCGTCAGTCTTCAGGGTGAAAGATTCTCCCACCTCTTCAGCTCTGAAGACAAAGGCAGCAGGTTTCTTTAGACATTTTGTAAATACATACCAGACTGCATGGTGTCACAGCCATGAAGACAGCAATCTTCATAGTCCCTGCCATGAGAATGTGAAATGTGAACATATTTCTTCATTCACTGCAAGATGTACTTTAGTTCTTTGAAGAGCACTATAACAGTGTTCCTGAATCTTTCTGTCTGGAATCTGGGAACTGTACAGTTTTGTTATATATCAGACTTCAGTTTTATGTAATGAAAATTTATGTTGAATACAGAGGAGCTCTGTCACATGCTAGCATAGTTGGTTGCAGCACTATGCTACAAGCCGGAAGGTTGTGGGTTCAAGTCCCGATGAGATTGGAACAGAAATGAGTACCATGACTCATCCTGGGGGGTAAAGGGTGGCTGGCTGGTGCGTAAGGCTGACAACCTCACCACCGTCTGTGAGCCGTTTGTCTAGAAAATGTGGGAACCTCCATGTCTCAAGACCCTCTGGGCATCCACAATCTCTTACAGGGATAGCTTTAACTTTTTCCCTCTACAGAACATCTCTAGAAGTTATGTATGTATCCTTATTTTAAAGAAAGCATTCCATCTTTCATCAATACCATCATGCAGTGTGAGATTATTCCTTGGTGTTTATGACATATGAGTTTAGTTTTTATATGCACATGATTTGATATCCCCCCCCCCAGTTACACATACACACAAGGTAATATAATGTCACACATTCTTCAGAATGCCATGGTAATGCTGCTTGATGGCTTGCATGTATGTTGGCCAGGGAGTGAAGCTGTACCTCTTCATACCATGGCTCTTAATGAATTAAGCACAGGAGTAACCTTAGTTTTAACAGTGTTTGTTGTTTAAGAGCATACTTTTTCATTTCTGTAATGATTATGCTTGCTAAACAAAAGCAGATCTATTTTAATAGATTTAATAACAGATAGTGTCAAAAATGTTCTCTACAGAGAAAATGAGCACTCTGGACACAGTAAAAGCCGGGATCGTGATCGTGCAAGGAGAGAAGATAGGAGAAGCAAGTCTCATAGCAGGGAGCGAGATAGGGAAAGGTGAGACGAAACTTGTACTCTGTAATAATTTTATGTTTTGAACTTATATTTCAATCTTGTATGTTTGGTAACTTTAAGACCTTAACCCGTTGCCGTGGTTTGACGTGTATGTTTCGTCAGGTATTTAAATCGTCTGGGGGGGTTCGACGTGTATGTTTCGTCCAGCTGCACACGTATGTTATAACGCCCATAATAATTGATGGTTTTGCTGTAGATTGTTAGATTTTTCACTGGCCTGTTGTCAGGAGGACTGTATTTAATGACACACGCGTTTAAGAGCGCTAAGTCGTCGTTACATATGCCTGTCTTGCAGCAACGTTCCTGTNTGTCCTCACAAATTACTGTAAGTTATGAATGAGACAAAATTTCAGTTATGCAAGTAAATGGTTGCATGGAACAGTTACTTATCATAAAGAGCTGGATCACGTATATTTATTGTGATGGAAAAGTTGAACTCTCAATATTGTTTTTAACCCAAGAAGGAAGAGAGAAACAGAATTTACAAATGCAGGATATGAGAAGGGCATACAGAATTTTGGAGACCTAGGCATTGAATGGAGGGTAATATTAATATTAAATAATACAGGGAGCATTTTTAGTGTGTGGACCAGGTCTTAGCCTCTGCTTGCTTTGAGGTGCATATGAATTTTGCCAATGACTCAGCATGCCTGATGGCTAAATACGTTTAGAACACTTCATATAATTAAAATATTATGGATATATTGGATACAGATCAAGTTTGTTTAGAGTTTGTATTGATGTTAACAGCAGTGTCTCAGAAGAACATAAATTAGTGGAAGTACAAAGTACAGGAAATTCCCTTCACATTAAAAGGGGGGGTTGCTTGTGATGGAAGATTAAAATAACAAGCTATGCACATTTGGAAACAAAATATCAGAGTGAAGAAAGCAGTCTTCTTGGATTTTGCACCGTGTATATGTGGTGTTAACCCCACATATACACGGTGCAAAATCCCAGAAGACTGCTTTCTTCATAGTCACCGCCGTGAAAGCCTCAAATCTTACAAAATATCAGAGTATTTTCATGCAAGTGTGAATGTGTGTGATTCAGTGTAGATGTTTATTCTGTTTTCTACTTGCAAAAGTTTTCCATATTAATCCATTGTGCAGTAACGGTAGGCTTGAGTTATGGTCATACTTAAGGGCCAGAGGGCTACCCAATGTGCCTGACTTCAAGTTTTCCATTTAATTTTTTCATTTGGGCATTTAAATAGGATTCCAGGCCCATGAAATATGTCGAATTAAAGAAGGTCTCAGGAGGAAATTTGTATTAGTTTTTCCTTTAGAAACGTTTTTGAAAATAATTTTAAATATGTTTTCTGTAGTGTGTGACCATGAAATGTGGATCATTGTTTGTGACGTTGGTTTCTAAATTTGCAGGCGGAGGTCACAGAGTCATGACCGAGGAAGCAGAAAACGTTCACACAGCCCTGGAGACAGACATATTTCATCTCGTTACAGGCGCTCACATAGCCGTGAGAGGGACAGGTACAGCTAAATAAATACTCTGGTTATGCCTTCAAACATCAGACTTAATGAATAATGGATAATAATAATAGTGGTAGGTAATTGTAATAAATGAGGAAATAAAAATTTAACAGAAATTATAAATGTGAGCTGGAGTTAGGAAACTCAGACATAGTTTTCAGTAAAATCCTCTGTTACATTGCATTGCATTACATTGCACTCCCTGGAACCACAGTTAGTCAGAATGGCTGTAGGATGTGGAATATGTCAGAAAAATACAAAAACATAATGTACAATACAACTGAAGGTTTCACGTAAGAAACCCAAAGAAAACACGTAATAAGAAAATAGCAAGTTCGCCTTTACAAATAATAGTTTTTTTTTTTCAGACTAATGCAAGTAAGTATAACTCAGATTTATTTAGCTTATATTTTATTATTTTGAACAGAAGATTCTTAAAGAAACTAGGTATTTCAAAATCCCAAATTGAAATGGTAGATCAGATTCTAGAAGCTACAGACAGAATTTGAACATTCAACTAGTGAGTCCGTCTCAGATATGTACTTGGAATTTTCTGCAGGAGCAGGCGATCCTCACCGAGCAGCCAGCGACATAGGTCACGAAGTCGTGATCGTGACCGTGGCAAATCCAGCAGCAGCAGTAGTGGCAGCAGCAGGCGAGGCGGCTACGAAAAGAAGCCAAACAAGTTAACACGTGAGTCTCGAGTCATACATTTTAATCTGGGATTTTTGTCCCAAGTTAGATTGTTCAGGATCTTTGTTTTCGCTGACACATCTGTAACATGACAATGGAGCAGTTTTGTACTATAAATAAAGGTATACCAATCAGGTTATTAGTAACAGAAATAAGCTTTTGGAGGAGATACATAAGGAGATAATACATGAATAATATGTGGAATGAGGTAATTTGAGAGGTTGGAGGAGAAAGGGAAACCATAACAGATTGAGTAGGTAACAATTGACATGGAATATTCATCAAATGGAAATCATCACTTGCTGGAAAAGGCATTGGAATGGAGTCCAGTAGGGCACTGGAAAGAATCTGGAATGAGACTGTAATGGAACTGGTTAGGGAAGGAGACCTGCCTAAGAAAGAAACAAAATTTGTGAGAGAGGGAATCTTGTCAGCAGGAATTCATAAAGAGAAATATTGGAAAGAAAAGGAAGACAGTTGTATGTGAAATTCTTTGGAGTCCATTACATTTTTAGTGTACTGCCTGGGCTGTGCTACAAGGGTAGGTTGCTGGAGCATGATCTTAACCATCATTATCTAGTACTTCTGTCAGAATGGGAATTGTACATACGCTGTGTGTTAACATTTAGGAATAACTTCTTCTAAAACAGATTTTACTACTACTTTTTAGTTTTATATCCTGCCAGCATTCTTACAGTCTTAGTTGGTAGTTACAGAAAAATGATTTAAAATGATTTTGCAAAGGGGTTTGGCCAGCCTAACGCCTCACAGTATCATCTTTCTTGAATTTGTTTATTCTTGGCTTAATTTGAAATGTTACTCTGTTAATATAACAAAATAGTGTCATGTGTTGGGTGTATGTCATACGACAAATACTCATGTACTTTGAAATAGGGCCTCCTTGATGAGAGGAGAGATCTGATTACTGCTGTCAACTACCGCCGATGTTGATGCCTTTCAGCATCACAATATTTTGTCATATAGCGTAGTGGTTAAGGCACTATGCTACAAGTCGGAAGGTTGTGGGTTCAAATACCAATGAGGTCATTGGATTTTTTTCAGTTGACCTAATCCTTCCAGCCGCACTATGGCCCTGGTGTTCACTCAACCTCTAACAGAAATGAGTACCAGGAATTAAATAAATAATTTTCCTGGGGAGTAAAGCGCGGCCGGCACGTAAGGCTGACAACCTTACTGCCATCTTTGAGCCGATTGTCTAGATAATGTGGAACCCTCAACATCTCACAACCCTATGGGCCTTCATGGCCTGTTACAGGGTTAGCTTTACTTACTTTTTATATACTGTGTTCTTGTATTCAGGGGTGTTGAATGTGTGTAAATCCGTGAAAACCTCAGGATGTTTCCTTTTTTACAATCACAATACTTTCTCATACTATGTGTATGAGAAAGTAAAATGAGCCTGAATTGATATTCACATATAATGTAGGTTCCGAACTTTAATGGATGTGTAATCAAAGAGTTACAGGAGCAGAGTTCACATTCCACAGAGTGTTGTAGAGCGCAAGGCATGCCACTTTTTCCTTTTGGATGTTTTTGTTATTGCAAGTTGGGGGTTTTGGAACATTTATCATGTACTGAAATGGGAGAAAACACTGATAGTGTGAAATAATAAGTAGCTTCTGTTTCAACACTAACATGTGTATAATTTGGGAAACTCATATGACATGTTGTTGCCATTTATTGTTAGGCATTGGAATGTTAACTGTTACTTGTGGGAAAACAGATTGATTGCTGCTGCCATAGTTGGTTCTTCTGCTGTATTTTTGTGTTTCTATCGGCCCTGGGGTTGACGCAGCTTGTGACAGAAGTGAATACCAGGAATCTTCCTGGGGGGTAAAGGGTGTCCTGCACGTAAGACTGACAACCTTACCGCCATCTGAGAGCTGATTGTCTAGAAGATGTGGGAGCCTCAACCTCTCACAACCCTAGGTTTTCCACAGCCTGTTATCGAGATAACTACCTTTTTTTTTTATCAGTCCTAGAGAGGTTGGGCATTGAGCTGAGGCCACCTGAGGCCCCACCAGCAGTGACACCCCAGCAGTTACTGCAGAAGTCAATTGAGCAGCAGGTACAGCAAGTGAAAACCAGTACTGGCATTGAGCTGCCGAAGTATTACAATCCTGCGGCCATGAATCCTGCACGCTATGCTGAGCAGATGCAGAAACGGAAACTGCTATGGGGAAACAAGGTGAGGAGTGATGGCTTCTTATGATGGATGTACCGATATTTGTGTTTTCTAACTTACAGTAACACAAACTTTGCCTGAACAACAATTGCTGCCTTGTGGAAGTAAGCCTTTCAGGTCTAGTGGTTGCTGTATATGCAACCTGCTTTAATACACAAAAACATGCATTATGCCCACAGTGTATTAGTGTTTCCTATGGTTTTCACAGTAAACAGCACCTGTTTCCCCAAACAGCATTAATCACTTGAGCTCTGTAGCAGAGAAGTGTGTTTCCTGTGACGTATGAACTGAATTTTTATATATTATTTAGATAAAATTCACTCTTTAAAGGGTCTAATGAGAATCTGACCTGTCCTAACTTTTGTATGCGTGTGTGTGTGCGGGTGGATGGAGGTTGATGGCTTTCTGCACATTTCATTTGAAAAGTCAGTTTCTTGACTGGATTAAATTTGATAAAGCTGTATACAATGGAACTCCAGTTTCATGTTTCATTTGGAAGTAGTGGGTTTGATGTCAGGTTGTAAAACATACTGGACTGCTAAACAATTTTGTTGTATGCTGCTGTGCTTTAGCCATGAAATTATTATTCTTTAACTTGTCATGTAAAAAAGTTACTGGAACATGTCATTTATTAATCACCCTTCTGTATTTTGTGAATAGAATGCAACTTCTATCTCTTTAAGGAAAGGAAGGAGATCATCATATAGTCTTTGTGCATCCCCCTTTCAACTTCTGAACCTGTGTACATATTTTCACAAAATTCGGTATGAACCTTACATTTTTATAATTCATCTGAACGTCATGCTTTTTAATCTGCAGTTGTGGGTTTGATTTCCGATGAGGTCATTTGATTTTTCAATTGACCTAATCCTTCCAGCCGCACTATGGCCCTGGGGTCAACTCAGCCTCTGATAGAAATGAGTACCAGGAATCTTCCTGGGGGTAAAGTGGGGCCAGCGTGTAAGGCTGACACCCTCAGTGCCACCTGTGAACTGATTGTATAGAAAATGTGCAAGTCTCGATGTCTCATAACCCTGTGGGTCTCCATGGCCTGTTACAGAGATAGCAATAGAGTTACAATCGATAATGACAACATGGCTGATACACAAACTTGTGAGGTGGGAGCAGTGCTTTTGTAACATAATGTTAAAAGAGTCCTGAGATGAGTCATGGCAACATAACTTAGAAAAATATGCATCTCTTAATAAGGAGCTAATTTTGTAGAATGTGAAACGTGGCAGTAACTGATGAACCACTGGAGCTAGGCATTTTAAATCTGGTGTAAATAAAGATCATAAACAGACATGACAGTGGTGCTGAACTTTTAAGTTGTTGCCAACAAGTTTAATGTAGACAAAATTCCAAAGTATGGCGTTAACAACAGCAAAAGTGATAATAGTAACAGTAACCTTTGATGTATTTATAGTTGCAAGAATAGAAAATTTGACTGAGTTCAATTACATGATCTCTGCATGAGTGCAGCACACTAGGCTCTATTGCATTCTGTTGCTGGATTATAAATGCACATTATTTGAATAAAATATTAAGAACATAAAATTTGTAGCACTTGAAGTCTTCAGTAGGAAAGCAGGCTGCTTAGTTTTACCTGGAATTTTGTGTTTAACACTTTATGTACAGTTCTACTTTTGGAAGCCTTCTGTAACCAAAGTTACAAACTTATTGCAACATTATGATCATATGCTGAGTGATTATCATTTCTGCATTGTGTCTACATGTATGAAAATATTTTTAGGAGCCGTCAACAAAGCAGTTGATCATAAAACTGATATTAAGATGTTAACATTGTTTTGTTTCATGTATACCACATCTTTCGATCTGCAAAGATAATTCTCAGGTGGTCTTTGAACTCATATCTATCATCTTCTTGATTTTAACCTACCATATATAACATGAATATTATTGTTTTATTGATGGAAATTAAATGTAAAAATGGACACATTTTAACTGACAATTTGATAATTACATATATGTAATCAGAGACCACCTGATGATGATCTCTGTATATCGAAATGTGGGTCATACAAAATAAAACTAACACCTTATTATCCCCCACCGATGGTGTCTTCTCCTTATTGTGGTGGTGGGGTTTGAGTGCTCCTGAGACTTGGAGAGCTATGCCGGCAGTAGCATAGATCCTGGTAGGGCTACCCAGGCTGGATAGGTCAAGGTGTAGGAGCCAGACGAAGGAAACCTGGTCCTCCAGGATGGGGATTGGGTGTGAGGCTAAAGACCCCACACCATAAAAACTAAATTGTTCAGCAAACAGATAATCGGCCTTGGATGGATGGATTGAACTGAAATCAACATCAGTGAATGAGCTTAGATGGTTGGAGGATGTATATGATCTCTGTAAAATGAAAGTGAAAGGATGGGGAGGAAAGATGAAGAATAGAGAAGAATGGAAGCAGATTGTTCAGTAGGACAAAGCTCACCCTGAGCTGAAGTGCCGAGGGGAATGAAGAAGGAAGGAACACCTTATCAGTTTTATAAGCAAGCTTCATGTTGATGGCTCCTAATAGAACCTTCAGTATACTGTGTGTTAAATTTTATGTTCTTTGATGTACAAATAGTTCGTATGAACAACAGATGGAAGGAGTTTGTTTTCCCCATATCTTTTTAAATTTGTATATAAGGTAATTTGTAACTAGTAGGAGTTGGATATAAAAAGGATTACCTTATAGTTACTTGTATCTATGACAGGCACAGACTCAGGAGGGGAAAACAGAGGAAGTGAAGGCTGCTCCAGTGTCAAACAATAAGTGGGAAGGAACAACATTTGCCCAAGACCAGGATGGAAAAATGACTGCTAAGTTCAAGCGGCTTATGGGCATAAAGAATGCTGGAGGTATGTGATTTTTCAACCATCAACGTACACCTAATTTTCCTTTAGAAACACTTTATATCTGGCACCTTAAATCACATGTAGGAATGGAAATAAAAGCATATATTGTCCTTGTATATTTTATAGTTGGCTTTTGTAATCACCGAGCATGGCCGGCTGTTGTTATAAGTAATATTTATTAATGGGATTAATGTGTGTTTGCATATGTTGGGAATCCAGATGAGGAGGATCCCATTCTTGCACTGTTGTGGGTGACTTAGGCCAGTTCTTTATGGGAAGGCCGGCAGAATTGGTCATCTTTCTTAGAATTTTGTGAGGTTTCAGAACCTTGGTTTTTCTTTTAGAACTTGAAATTTGACAGGTTCATCCAGTCATTTTGGAGTAGGCATTCTCTGAATCGACGTTTTTGAGATTATCCATCAAAGACCTGTCTCGTGCCGTTCAGAACTTAAGGTCAAGATTTTGCCAAGAAAGATAGCTGATTGGGAAACGAAAAAATGTTGAGACCTCCTTGTTTTCAAAACAAGTCGATTGGGGATCATGAGGGAGGCAACTTATGACAGGAGCTGGAGATCCTGAGCTATCTGCTGTCTCATAACAAGCCACTTCTACCCGGAGTATGTTCCCAGTCTTTCAAATGGTAGGATGCAAAGTCTGCGCTCATTGGAATTACTATATTAACCACTTAACTATTCAGCCAGCTGGGATACATTACTTATTAGCGATCAGTGTGTACCATGACAATTTATTTAACCATCGTGACTTAAATGAAGTACATCACATTATTAAAGTTAATTCCTGTAAACATAAGTGTAACTATCACTGCTAGTGTGCATGTTATGTAATAAAACTGAGGTATGTCTCAGTGATCATGGTGTGTGCGTCTGCATCCATGTTCCTTCTTTCCTGTTAAGACCAGATCTCCAGCTCAATGGATCCCAGGCAAAGCTAGTCACCACCCAAAGAACTGTGCAAATTCATAACCACCAGACCGGTGTCTGCTGGCACCAGCCCATCCTCCTACCTTCCCAGCATGTCACTATGACAACTGCTCACAAAGTGCAGGGAAAAGAGGTAAGGATGGTATCTGAGGCAGAGCAGTCATTGGCGTCATTGTCCGAGGAAGGCCATGGTTGTATCCGTTGTCTTCGGGCAGCAGCAGCAGCAGCAGTGGTGAAACAACAAGGTCAGCAGAGAGTGACTACAGTCCTTAAGATTTAGAATATGCCGCTCATTTTTATATTTCCTTACAGGGTCCAGTGGTGCCACATCAAGTGGCCCACCCACTAATCCTGAGGGCAGTGAGATCTTGAAGAAGCAAGAGGAACTGTTCAACTCGATGGAGATACAGTACGAAGTTGCTCGTGTTGCTACCCACACACATCGGGGGGTAGGGCTGGGTTTTGGGACTTTCCAGTATCCTCGATAGCAACATGTTTGTTGTGTGACCTTGAAAATTCAGGGTACCTAAGATTGCAGGGGACAATGTCTGAAGAATAATTATTTCTTTTATGCTGAAGTAACAGGCTTCTAGAGATCTGTATAGTACAAACTTGACCTTGGAAGCTGAAAATGCTGGGAAAGGCAACTTATAGTGTTCACTGTAATAAGATGCCCAGTCTTGAAGAACACAGTGCATCAAGATACCAGACTGGTGTTTGCACATAATTTTGCTTGTGATCATATATGCAGAATGTGTTATGTGTATGAGTAGTTAGAGCTATATGTGTGGTGCACCTCTATTCTGACTTTGTGGTATCTTTGTGTTGAAAGTTGTTTCAGTTGTGTATTGAAAATATATAGGATTAGAAACAAAGTAATTTTGTGGATGTGATCGTGACAATATTTGAATATGTGTATCCATTTATTTGACATGGGATGTCAGAGAGCAGTAAGGCATATTGATAATAAATATGTAAATTTAATGTGTAAAATAAAGTAGTCATATTGTTCTCTTCTTCTAGTATGGTTTCTGTTTTATGCAGGTCAAATGATGAAAAAGTCAGCAACTCAGTTTGTATGGTTATAGGGAAAACTTTACCATCTCAAAAAAAAAATTATGGCTCGAAATGTCAGAAAATTTTTGACTTGTAATTTTTTATTTCCATTTAAGATAATCATCATCATCCTTTATTGATGTTAACAGAAGGTCTTTGCAACTCATCTCTGTTCTCTCACTTGGTTTTGCTGCCTAGTTCTTTTAACACATCTCCATTTTTTATTTTATTTTTTATTTTCTTTTTCTCTCTTTCTTTCTTTCGTTTTTGTCTGCAGTTTTCTCTCTGTTTGAGACTTGAGTCTAGAGTGGAAGATTTCACGTCTATATGGAAAGTACTGTCACGCACACCCCAACTATTAGTCTTTATTTTCATCTTGGCTCCCTCGTGGGCAATGACTTCCCCATTTGAATTAACAACCAAAACTTCTTTACCACATTTTTCCCAACCAGAAGTCTCCTTCCTGGACATAACCCACTGTGGAGATACTGCAACTGCCCGGCATTTCTCCAGTTCATCTTCATCTTCCTCCTGAGCCACTTGCCTTCTTCCTTTCTTGTAGGAAGGTGCTGTATCTACAGACAGATAACTGGACGAAGATGCAAACAGCCGGATTCCTCCATCAGGCTGACTCTTAGCATCTCCATTCTGCACCAAGGATGAAGACTGGTCACCTTCGAACTCTTCCAGTTCTCTGTAACATCACTTTGAATCAGGTTTGTGTTGAATAAGAAGATTATGTGGTAGATACCGTTCTGAAGGAACCTGCTCTCACAATCTTCAGGGAAAGTTGCATGGAATGTTCCTCTGAAACATTTGAACCTGTCTACCAAACTACATGGCATCTCATCTCAGAAGACCATAATCTTCAGGTATATCTGCTTAGTTCCACACTGAACTTGCCAAACTGCCTCAGCTTAATTCATTAAATCTGTGCTCAAGCATCTTGGCAATGTACGAGTATATATAAAAAAGGGGTTATTCAGAATTTCAGTCTGATCCTGCCTATGTAATACCTTGAAAGCAGTTACAATGAACACCAAGCTATTGCTTCTTGAACCGCAGTGGTAACACTGCTTGTTTCGAAAGACCTATGAAATAATGGAAGGATTCTGTTTTATCTGTAACAGGTCACAATAGGGCTGATATTGGAAAGGATGCTTGAAACTTTTCAGTTTAATCACCTAATGCAGCAAATCAGATTATCTGAAACTACATGGATACTTTGCTCAAAGCAAAATCTTAATGGAACCTGATTGAAGCAGGTATGTCCCATGTACGGCTACCACCATCAGCCTTCAAGCTTCGCTTTGATTCAGTAACTAGGCATGAGGGTGAGGGAATTGAAAATCGGTTTCCTACTATGCAGCATGTGAAATGACAGTCAAAGCAATTGTTGAAAGTTTTGTGAAATATCTAATAAACCTGTCAAACACATGCATCAGTTTAATAATTCTCCTTCTTGAACAAATTAACTGTAAATTCTGACTGAACTATTAGCAAGTTATGTAGAGGCAAGAAGTTTGAATGCCAGTGTGCATCTCGAAGTTGACTGGAATATTACAGATGTTTATGAGATATTAGAGTCACTAACAGACTAGAGTTGCTGAGCTATTTTATAGGGAATACCTGAAATATCTTCCTTGTGAGAGACTTTGACTTCCATATAAATGGGTCTAAAACTACAGCAGTAAAATGTAGGCGTATAAAATTAATGTTGTGTGCTTAACAAGTATGGGAAGCTGTACTTCAGAAATAATGATACATTTCGCTCAATCATACCGATCTATGATCCTGACTAGATGCTTGGCAACAAAGGCCTGAAATCCTGGTGTGACATGCAGGTCATTATATTGCTGCTCCTTATTCATCTGTGGACGAAGTGACGGAGGTTTCTCTCGCTTTGTTATTCCATTATATTCTACAACATACATACAATCTCATTAAATGCAGAAATGAAACACCCTAAAGATTATGATTTAGGATAACCAGAGCCACAATCTTAATGTAAATGGCCATAACAGCCTCACATCACACTGACAAGCAACATAGCTGTGCACTAATCATGGGCAAATTTTATAAGGCTTTCCACCTTCACATGTTAGTGTATGGAACTTTGTAAAGTTCTCTCACTCATGCTGATGGTACAGTCATCTGTTATGTCATGTTTACTTGTATAAATCACAACACTACCTTTATGCAACACACCCAGGCTGAATACTAGTAATTATTTAAACAATACATCAAGAATCACTTTATCATCTGTATACTGACTAAAACCAACCTACCTTTGTATGTATCACCCGTCCCTCTTGATGCAAACATAGAATCATTTATGAATTGTACATCAGCAGCTTCCCTTAATAATTCAAGATTTTCCTCGCTAGATGTGTCTGAAGCCGACATACTGAGATTTATCAACTAAACAGACAAGCAAGTACAACGTGTTTAATGTTATAATGCTTAAAACACATGTGGAAATAAATTTATATGCTCACTCTGGTATTACGAAAATAGTTTTCACGCAGAAGAAAATACTTAGGTTATCAATAACGGATAATGTATTCCCATTCAATTATACTTGTCACTAACAGAAACTATCCCAAGCCGCTTTATACATCCTGTCTTTTTGAAAGATATTTCCCATTCTTCCAATTCACTCTACGCACTACTTCGTATTTCTTGTTTCATGAATTTGTATTTTAGGTTAGGGGTGGATGTTACCAACCGCAGGTGTTCTAAATATGGTTTCTGCAATACATGATGTTAAAACATGACATATATAGATTTAAAAATAATTAACACGTTTCAGTAAAAATAAATCACAAAGTCTACTACTGTCATCAGCTGATAGGTATACATAAGGAATTCAACTTCTGGTACAGTTTGAAATATAAAACAAGTGCGAATCGGCCAGAATCGATTACGATCGATTACCCTGTTCGGTTGAAGACGTTTGGATGAATTAATATGTGGGTAGAAGTGGGTTTGTGCTTTTCGTAAATGGAAAATTAAAACGTGAAATTCTTTGTTATTTAAAATGGAAGTAACGAGGTCGACAAAGTATCTGTACAATATTTTTCTGTAAGGGATAATTTGCATTTCCTGACCAGATATTTCTTATAATCTAAGTACTCTACAGACAGCAAATCGTGTTTCGCAAACAAAATTAACCAAATATGTAATGTGTAAGGAAGATACGTAGGTATATCTCGCTAGTGCCATTTGGGCGTTTTGTGCAAGTGCACCTTGCGTGAAACCAAAATACCAAGGAAACGGTAGCAGACGCCATCAGCTTAGTTTTGAAAACTCAGTACAACCTTTGGTTAGAATGAAAATCGTAAGCGATCGTAAGAGTCTGTGAAATTGATTCATCAGGTTGAGGATAGGAAATCAAGGGAGTGCAACTGAGATAGGGGAAAGGGAAACACGGTAACTACCTAGGAAATAATGGCAGGCACTTGTGAACTTAGTACTCAGCCTTCAAGTTCCATAAAAGGCAAAAAAAATTATGACTAACTGGACAAATGTTAGCTTCTCAAGAAGGACTTTGCTCCATGACATTAATTGATTTTATTGCTACAATTTTTTGACAGCTGGAGAGGTATCACTTGTCTCCTCAGATGAAGGATGACATTGATGCCAGACTGAGGAAGCAACTCATGTGTTATGAGACTTGAGAGTTTCACTTGTTTTTTTCTTTTGGAATCTTCTCAGTATAATTCTGTGTCAAATTAGTAAAGATTAATTTAATTTGTAATATGTTGTAAAGATTACTGACATTTCAAAGGAACTGGATTCTTCCCCTCTTATGGTTAAAGATGGAGTGTATATAATTTGTACCCATTTGAACAAGGTACTGTACAAGGACCCAAGATGTTTTTTCCATTGCATCTTACACTTGAGGGTTGGTGATCTTCAGACAGAATATGTAAGCAGGCAGTTTCTTCCCTCCCTGTTCCTGTATGGGAACTATGAGTACACATACTGAAGGTTACTATTTCAGAATTAAATTTGAGACTGTGATCTTTATTTCGTATTCATTCTTTAATATGATTCCAGGAAATCGGTACACTTTGTAAATGGATCTGAAGTGGTGTCAATGAAGGAAAAGCTCTTCCAAGAAATGAAAATGCCTGTTTCTGGGTGAGGAGTGCCATAGAGGCACATAGGGTTGTGAGACATCGAGGCTTCTCCATTTTCTGGACATTCGGCTCACAGATGGCAGTGAGGTTTTCAGTCTTACATGTTGGCTGCCTTTTATCGTCAGGAAGATTCCTGGTACTCATTTCTGTTAGAGGCTGAGTCGACCCCAGGGCCATAGAGCGGCTGGAAGGATTAGATTGATGGAAAAATCCATTGACCTCACGGGGCAAATGGAAACGTTCTTGGTTTCGCCAGGTTGTGTAGAGCAGTGGTTCTCAACCTTTTTTGCTCGTGGCCCACTTCTGACTTTCATTCAGTTCTGTGGCCCCTCCCCCTCATATTGTTTAATTATAATAAGTGTAATATTGATTACTGATTTTATGACTGCCCTATTTCTAAATTTTTTGAAGATGTGGAAAATTTTAGAATTCAATATTCATAAAAATTACTTTGAAAGCCATTCTACCTCAAATAAATACAAAACTGCTGTAATCAATTCACAATATTTTTTTCTTGTAGAGAGAGGGCATTCAAATTCTATTGAAAGCTAATAATTTATTTGTAATGAACGTTCAAGTTATTATGAAATGTAATGCTTATTTGTCGACAAATAGGCCGGAGTTTGTAACTTACCTACAAAGTAGGGAAATGCCACAATAATAGAACTTGCGCAGAAAAATGTCTTCTTCCAAACACTTTGAATACTGAACTGAAGAACACCTGAAATTTACTGAAAAGGTGGGGATAAAACTCACGAGAGGAAGGGGAGATATTTAGGAAAATAAAGGATAATTCGTTAGGGCTCTACCCGCTCTGAGGAGGCGCTTACCTGTTTACCAGTACTTGGAATTCCCAGATCTAAGGTTGTGGTATAAGTACAATAGGTTCTGTCCCTTCTAAGTAAGGTACACAAAAACAAGGATATTGAGTTAGTGTGTTATTATATGTACTGACCATTTGGCATTTTTATTTCTTTTTATATTATTAATAATTTTATTTTAGAAGTGAAATTTTGTGGCCCTCCCTTTTTCCAAATTTTGCCTGCGGCCCCACAGAAATACGGCTTGATCCGCTGGGGGGCCATATGGCCCCTGTTGAGAACCACTGGTATAGAGCTCTGAGTGGGGTATGGCAATCATACACAGGGCTTATGTGTGCTTATGGTCAGTGACTGGTTGTCATTATTTTAATAAATAATAAGTGCATAAAGAAGAATAACGTGAAGAAAGCAGTCTTCTGGGGTGTGACACCTTGGAGATATTGTGTAAACTGACGTTTCAGAGGAACGTATTCTAAGAGTATACTATAAGTTCTGTATGGGTGTGAAACTTGGTCTCTGACATTAAGGGAGGAATATAGACTGAGGGTGTTTGAGAACAGGGTGTTGAGGAGGACATTTGGACTGAAGAGAGATGAAGTAACAGGAGGTTGGAGAAAACTGCATAATGAGGAGCTTCATAACTTGTACTCTGTTCCAGGTATAATTAGAATGATAAAGTCAAGGAGGATGAGGTGTGCAGGGCATGTAGCACGAATGGGGGAGATGAATGCGTATAGGATATTGGTGAGAAAGCCAGAAGGAAAGAGATCACTTCTTTTTTAATAAATTCAGTAATTTTGTTTATTAAGTTACAGAAGCCTTGTACAAATGTTTTTGACTAGTGTTAAGAGCTCTATAATTAACTTTGGGTATTCTCTTTTGCTGTTCTCAGACAAAATATCCATCACTGTTGTTCTTTGGTCCTCGTACAGTTTACAACCCCAGAAGACAAGTACCTCTGTAGCCCGTCACTACATTTGCATACAGCCGTGGACAAAATGTTAACCCTAGTTAAGCTGCTGCCGGATGACAGCATAAGTAATATTTGTGGCTGTCACCTGCTTTGAATGAATGAATGTATAAGGGTTGGGCCTTCTTGGCTCTTGCACCACGACCACAGTGATCAATTGTGCCTCCCCTTCTGATAGTGACCCAAGTGACAGAATCTTAAATAAGCTAAGGCCTCACATTCGCACAGGATATGTATGGCTGTTTCATTTTCTTCTTGACACCTCTCACAAGTTGGACTATTACTTAGTCCCAGTTTGAAGAGATGTCCTTTGAGGTGACAGTGTCCTGTAAGTAGTCCTACCACCCATCGTAACTGGTTCCTGTATAACTTCAACAGATGCTTCGCTCTTTTAGTAGAGGGCCCTCATATGTGTACCTTCGCTTGCCCGAGTCCAGTCAAGGATTCCCAGTATTTCTTGTCCAGTCCCTGATTGCCTTTCTGGCGACACCTATAGAGATGTCACAGGCTGGTTCAGGTTCTATGAACGGATATTCAGCTCCAATCTTGGCCAATTGGTCTGCTGTTTCGTTTCCAGCAATATTCTCATGCCCTGGCACCCATATCAGTTGTACGCTGTTATGTTTGGCCAGTTCCATGAGAGTTTGGTGGCAATCCCAGACCAGTTTTGAGTAGATCTTGTGTTTGTCAAACGCTATAATTGGAGCTTGGCAAATGTCACCGGCTTTGGTACGTGTTGTCTTGTACGCACAAATTTCGTCACGAGATAGCAGCACCAGAATTATGTGAACACACCCCACCGAATATTGTTATTGGTATTTTTCATTGATGGCAATACATGCATGTTTCATGGCGTGAAAACTAGGGACCAGATGGTATTGCCTAGGCCATTTTTGTATATACATAATTTATTTTTTTCAAATTAGAAATAGTGATAACCAGAACGTTTGCTATTCAGTGATATGCGACACAACAGTCTGAGTACCCATNTGCTTGGCAACAAAGGCCTGAAATCCTGGTGTGACATGCAGGTCATTATATTGCTGCTCCTTATTCATCTGTGGACGAAGTGACGGAGGTTTCTCTCGCTTTGTTATTCCATTATATTCTACAACATACATACAATCTCATTAAATGCAGAAATGAAACACCCTAAAGATTATGATTTAGGATAACCAGAGCCACAATCTTAATGTAAATGGCCATAACAGCCTCACATCACACTGACAAGCAACATAGCTGTGCACTAATCATGGGCAAATTTTATAAGGCTTTCCACCTTCACATGTTAGTGTATGGAACTTTGTAAAGTTCTCTCACTCATGCTGATGGTACAGTCATCTGTTATGTCATGTTTACTTGTATAAATCACAACACTACCTTTATGCAACACACCCAGGCTGAATACTAGTAATTATTTAAACAATACATCAAGAATCACTTTATCATCTGTATACTGACTAAAACCAACCTACCTTTGTATGTATCACCCGTCCCTCTTGATGCAAACATAGAATCATTTATGAATTGTACATCAGCAGCTTCCCTTAATAATTCAAGATTTTCCTCGCTAGATGTGTCTGAAGCCGACATACTGAGATTTATCAACTAAACAGACAAGCAAGTACAACGTGTTTAATGTTATAATGCTTAAAACACATGTGGAAATAAATTTATATGCTCACTCTGGTATTACGAAAATAGTTTTCACGCAGAAGAAAATACTTAGGTTATCAATAACGGATAATGTATTCCCATTCAATTATACTTGTCACTAACAGAAACTATCCCAAGCCGCTTTATACATCCTGTCTTTTTGAAAGATATTTCCCATTCTTCCAATTCACTCTACGCACTACTTCGTATTTCTTGTTTCATGAATTTGTATTTTAGGTTAGGGGTGGATGTTACCAACCGCAGGTGTTCTAAATATGGTTTCTGCAATACATGATGTTAAAACATGACATATATAGATTTAAAAATAATTAACACGTTTCAGTAAAAATAAATCACAAAGTCTACTACTGTCATCAGCTGATAGGTATACATAAGGAATTCAACTTCTGGTACAGTTTGAAATATAAAACAAGTGCGAATCGGCCAGAATCGATTACGATCGATTACCCTGTTCGGTTGAAGACGTTTGGATGAATTAATATGTGGGTAGAAGTGGGTTTGTGCTTTTCGTAAATGGAAAATTAAAACGTGAAATTCTTTGTTATTTAAAATGGAAGTAACGAGGTCGACAAAGTATCTGTACAATATTTTTCTGTAAGGGATAATTTGCATTTCCTGACCAGATATTTCTTATAATCTAAGTACTCTACAGACAGCAAATCGTGTTTCGCAAACAAAATTAACCAAATATGTAATGTGTAAGGAAGATACGTAGGTATATCTCGCTAGTGCCATTTGGGCGTTTTGTGCAAGTGCACCTTGCGTGAAACCAAAATACCAAGGAAACGGTAGCAGACGCCATCAGCTTAGTTTTGAAAACTCAGTACAACCTTTGGTTAGAATGAAAATCGTAAGCGATCGTAAGAGTCTGTGAAATTGATTCATCAGGTTGAGGATAGGAAATCAAGGGAGTGCAACTGAGATAGGGGAAAGGGAAACACGGTAACTACCTAGGAAATAATGGCAGGCACTTGTGAACTTAGTACTCAGCCTTCAAGTTCCATAAAAGGCAAAAAAAATTATGACTAACTGGACAAATGTTAGCTTCTCAAGAAGGACTTTGCTCCATGACATTAATTGATTTTATTGCTACAATTTTTTGACAGCTGGAGAGGTATCACTTGTCTCCTCAGATGAAGGATGACATTGATGCCAGACTGAGGAAGCAACTCATGTGTTATGAGACTTGAGAGTTTCACTTGTTTTTTTCTTTTGGAATCTTCTCAGTATAATTCTGTGTCAAATTAGTAAAGATTAATTTAATTTGTAATATGTTGTAAAGATTACTGACATTTCAAAGGAACTGGATTCTTCCCCTCTTATGGTTAAAGATGGAGTGTATATAATTTGTACCCATTTGAACAAGGTACTGTACAAGGACCCAAGATGTTTTTTCCATTGCATCTTACACTTGAGGGTTGGTGATCTTCAGACAGAATATGCAAGCAGGCAGTTTCTTCCCTCCCTGTTCCTGTATGGGAACTATGAGTACACATACTGAAGGTTACTATTTCAGAATTAAATTTGAGACTGTGATCTTTATTTCGTATTCATTCTTTAATATGATTCCAGGAAATCGGTACACTTTGTAAATGGATCTGAAGTGGTGTCAATGAAGGAAAAGCTCTTCCAAGAAATGAAAATGCCTGTTTCTGGGTGAGGAGTGCCATAGAGGCACATAGGGTTGTGAGACATCGAGGCTTCTCCATTTTCTGGACATTCGGCTCACAGATGGCAGTGAGGTTTTCAGTCTTACATGTTGGCTGCCTTTTATCGTCAGGAAGATTCCTGGTACTCATTTCTGTTAGAGGCTGAGTCGACCCCAGGGCCATAGAGCGGCTGGAAGGATTAGATTGATGGAAAAATCCATTGACCTCACGGGGCAAATGGAAACGTTCTTGGTTTCGCCAGGTTGTGTAGAGCAGTGGTTCTCAACCTTTTTTGCTCGTGGCCCACTTCTGACTTTCATTCAGTTCTGTGGCCCCTCCCCCTCATATTGTTTAATTATAATAAGTGTAATATTGATTACTGATTTTATGACTGCCCTATTTCTAAATTTTTTGAAGATGTGGAAAATTTTAGAATTCAATATTCATAAAAATTACTTTGAAAGCCATTCTACCTCAAATAAATACAAAACTGCTGTAATCAATTCACAATATTTTTTTCTTGTAGAGAGAGGGCATTCAAATTCTATTGAAAGCTAATAATTTATTTGTAATGAACGTTCAAGTTATTATGAAATGTAATGCTTATTTGTCGACAAATAGGCCGGAGTTTGTAACTTACCTACAAAGTAGGGAAATGCCACAATAATAGAACTTGCGCAGAAAAATGTCTTCTTCCAAACACTTTGAATACTGAACTGAAGAACACCTGAAATTTACTGAAAAGGTGGGGATAAAACTCACGAGAGGAAGGGGAGATATTTAGGAAAATAAAGGATAATTCGTTAGGGCTCTACCCGCTCTGAGGAGGCGCTTACCTGTTTACCAGTACTTGGAATTCCCAGATCTAAGGTTGTGGTATAAGTACAATAGGTTCTGTCCCTTCTAAGTAAGGTACACAAAAACAAGGATATTGAGTTAGTGTGTTATTATATGTACTGACCATTTGGCATTTTTATTTCTTTTTATATTATTAATAATTTTATTTTAGAAGTGAAATTTTGTGGCCCTCCCTTTTTCCAAATTTTGCCTGCGGCCCCACAGAAATACGGCTTGGCCCGCTGGGGGGCCATATGGCCCCTGTTGAGAACCACTGGTATAGAGCTCTGAGTGGGGTATGGCAATCATACACAGGGCTTATGTGTGCTTATGGTCAGTGACTGGTTGTCATTATTTTAATAAATAATAAGTGCATAAAGAAGAATAACGTGAAGAAAGCAGTCTTCTGGGGTGTGACACCTTGGAGATATTGTGTAAACTGACGTTTCAGAGGAACGTATTCTAAGAGTATACTATAAGTTCTGTATGGGTGTGAAACTTGGTCTCTGACATTAAGGGAGGAATATAGACTGAGGGTGTTTGAGAACAGGGTGTTGAGGAGGACATTTGGACTGAAGAGAGATGAAGTAACAGGAGGTTGGAGAAAACTGCATAATGAGGAGCTTCATAACTTGTACTCTGTTCCAGGTATAATTAGAATGATAAAGTCAAGGAGGATGAGGTGTGCAGGGCATGTAGCACGAATGGGGGAGATGAATGCGTATAGGATATTGGTGAGAAAGCCAGAAGGAAAGAGATCACTTCTTTTTTAATAAATTCAGTAATTTTGTTTATTAAGTTACAGAAGCCTTGTACAAATGTTTTTGACTAGTGTTAAGAGCTCTATAATTAACTTTGGGTATTCTCTTTTGCTGTTCTCAGACAAAATATCCATCACTGTTGTTCTTTGGTCCTCGTACAGTTTACAACCCCAGAAGACAAGTACCTCTGTAGCCCGTCACTACATTTGCATACAGCCGTGGACAAAATGTTAACCCTAGTTAAGCTGCTGCCGGATGACAGCATAAGTAATATTTGTGGCTGTCACCTGCTTTGAATGAATGAATGTATAAGGGTTGGGCCTTCTTGGCTCTTGCACCACGACCACAGTGATCAATTGTGCCTCCCCTTCTGATAGTGACCCAAGTGACAGAATCTTAAATAAGCTAAGGCCTCACATTCGCACAGGATATGTATGGCTGTTTCATTTTCTTCTTGACACCTCTCACAAGTTGGACTATTACTTAGTCCCAGTTTGAAGAGATGTCCTTTGAGGTGACAGTGTCCTGTAAGTAGTCCTACCACCCATCGTAACTGGTTCCTGTATAACTTCAACAGATGCTTCGCTCTTTTAGTAGAGGGCCCTCATATGTGTACCTTCGCTTGCCCGAGTCCAGTCAAGGATTCCCAGTATTTCTTGTCCAGTCCCTGATTGCCTTTCTGGCGACACCTATAGAGATGTCACAGGCTGGTTCAGGTTCTATGAACGGATATTCAGCTCCAATCTTGGCCAATTGGTCTGCTGTTTCGTTTCCAGCAATATTCTCATGCCCTGGCACCCATATCAGTTGTACGCTGTTATGTTTGGCCAGTTCCATGAGAGTTTGGTGGCAATCCCAGACCAGTTTTGAGTAGATCTTGTGTTTGTCAAACGCTATAAGTGCAGCTTGGCAAATGTCACCGGCTTTGGTACGTGTTGTCTTGTACGCACAAATTTCGTCACGAGATAGCAGCACCAGAATTATGTGAACACACCCCACCGAATATTGTTATTGGTATTTTTCATTGATGGCAATACATGCATGTTTCATGGCGTGAAAACTAGGGACCAGATGGTATTGCCTAGGCCATTTTTGTATATACATAATTTATTTTTTTCAAATTAGAAATAGTGATAACCAGAACGTTTGCTATTCAGTGATATGCGACACAACAGTCTGAGTACCCATGTATGATAATTTACGTACTTTAATAGTTCATTCATAGAGTGCAGCATCAGATTGCTACGAAGGCCTGACACCTATTGGTATTTATTGATATTACCTTTAAATTCTGTCTTGAATATTACACATGTATGTACGAAGCATGGGAAAGTGTATAGGTTAGGAAGTCTGAACGTCGTTTTAAGTTAGCAATACAATGATGTGTATGTCGTTTTCATTTGGTTATAAAAAGCAACGGGTACCTCGTTTCCGAACCACGAAATTGCGTATGAAGTAGGTTCCTGACACTTGTTCGCGTCTACGAGCTGCTAAATAATTCGAAATTTCCTCTACAGAAAAATGTGTCATGTTCTTACGCGAACATTTCTGCATTGTTGAGACGAGACAAAAACTGCTGTGTGATGGATTTATTTTGAATTTTATATCAGGAACGTATAATCATTGTGTTCGTGTTGTGGCATCATCATAATTGTTGCTTGAGAAGATGCTCTTTCAGAGGAGATCGATTTTCTTTTGTTTAAGAGAAAGGCGTATTCATTCAAATATCCGGTCATTTATGCATTTATTTTTTTTACGTCTTTCGATGCTGATTGTCTTCCTAAAGTGGTACTTTATGAACAGCATTCGTGTTGGATTTTTTTTTAATTCAGAGAAATTAATATATTTTTAAATCTTTTTCTATAACATATTTCCTTAATTTGCTCTGTCCGTACGTCTTCCATATCCGTTCATTCACGCGAGTCAACCCTGTGTCCCGCCAAACTAGAACTATGAGAGTGTAATTGTGCAAGATGGCAGTGTAGAAATGGTGCTTGAAATGTGTAATAGTTGATGTGAGATTTTTATAAACTTCGTTGGGCCATTGACTGTAGCAAGGACTGGTAAGTACTGACTCTGTAATAAAGTAGCCTTGTATAGCAGGTGGATGTTAATTTGTATCTTTGGGAAACTTGGTATGGTGGTACTGAGTGAATTCAGGTGTCT